TGACAAGTTTCTTTCCAGCTCGTAAGTTCTTACCTCAAACAAAACATTTTAAACGGTCTTGCTATTTGTCAGCAAAACGAACAAGTTATCCCTTTCAGGTACTTGAAGGACATCGGTGACCTGAAGAGACAGATCAAGACGATGAAGAAGAGTCGTAAGAAAAGTGCAGACGGGAAAAGACTGAGGTCGGCGAAGAAGACCTCAGATGTTGGGACGGAGGCCGAGGTAGACACAGCGTCACTCGCATCAGAGTCGGTAAATAACTTTAAGACATGTGTACATAGACCTACTAGATACAATTGCATGCTAGCTAGAGATAGTTGTACTGTTGTACTCTGGCTCTTGTCTTCAATTCGGAACTGATCTTTTTGTCCTATAAAACATATAAATAAAAACAGAAATCTTTGTTTGTTTGTTTCGTATATAATAAACCGGTAAACCACCTTTAGGCCTAACACACCATGCAGTTTTGCACATGTAAGTACAAGCTGCGTAAGACCGGACTGTGTACTTCCTTGCAAGATATCTTAGAAAAAATTGCTGTAAATCCAATACAAGTGATGTAAAAAAACGCATCACCCTTACGGCTGCCCCCCCTTCGTATAAGGAACTGCGTCGTTTATGAAAAACAATCCTTTAGTACTGCAACTAAATGTGCTATTTGTCCAACAGAAGGAATCGTTTGACGTGGACAAGGTCCGTGAGCTGGTGAACTTCAGCGTGACCAACACGGCGCAGGACTTCCGTGCCAAGCTGGACGGTCTGTTGGAGGAGGAGCGCCGAGAGATCAAGGACGAGATCTCCGCACAGCTGAAGGGCTTCCAGCAGACGGTACAGGAGAAGAGCGAACAGGAGGCTCAGCAGGCAAAGGAGACCGTGGTGGCTACAGACAAGTGGGTCTGAGTTATGATTTCTGTTATGTCATTGTATCTTTGAGATACAATGTACATGCTTTGCATGCACGGTGTGATAGATACCAAGAGCGCTCGGACAGCAACGTTCATGACATGAAAGTTCATCTGTGTTGGCAAAATAAATGAACATTATATCGAAAAACTTTAAACTGTTCTCCAACTCAAGAATCACACATGGACATTTTCGAGTCGGCCCTCCTCAGTTGTCACCCAATCAGGTGGTTTTCTTTACGTGTGATGTCGCAATAGGTCAAAGTTCGTTGGAAGTCGAGATCGCCCCCCGTCGCGGTTGAGAGAAGGTTGGTACACCCTGAGGGATTCGGTCGAAAATTTCCGTGACTCTTTTTTGGTTGGAGAGCAGTTGAAAGTTACTTCTTATAGCATCGTTTGAAAGTTATTTATGTTATATGTTGTGAGTTGAAGACCAACAAGCTCAACTTCCGTCACACAGGTTGCTGGAGGAGGTTCACAGTAAGCAGCAGCAGGTGTTAGAGGAACAGCAGCAGACCAGACAGCTGCTGTCCGACATCAAGGAGCGGACAGCTGAAGAGCAGCACTCACGTGACGACACATCCGGTCAGCTCAACGACCATGTACAGCAGATGAACATGGCAATGGTATAGATATCCATCCTTCTGTGTTATGTTTTCGTGTCATGGAAGCTATCCGTGGCGAACCAAAACACGCCAGACTCAGACTAAATTCGACAGACTCACCAATTTTGATGCAAAAGAAATTGCAAAAATAACCAAACGGTCTAGTGTATGATTTCAGCCATCATTCTTCAGTCGATAGACGTCGATCAATTGAGATCATTGAAGTTAGCTAGGCCATTACATTCAAAGTGAATTGCGTACACATTTTCTTTTGCAATGTTTAGGAGGACCTGAGAACTTTGAACCGAGAGTTGAAACATGAGATGGAGTCCCACTTGGAGAACATCCGACAAGACATGAAGAACAGGGACGACACCACTGACAAAAGTGTGAGTTTAGCAAATGTGCATGTACCAATATAAGGCACACTGGATCTTGTGCCATGTTGAGTGACTGATTTGTCATATAGCACTCAATGTCCCGTAGTGGAAACATTCGTCAACGTTCGTCTTTGTCATATTCATTGATTGACGTAGCTCAATGTTGACAAAAAGGTCAAATTCTACCTGTTTTCGTTCCAAACAGTATCAAGACGAACTCAAGAAGTTGCAGACTAACTACACAGACTTGAAGATAGAGATAAACTTCCTCGCACAGGCTTTCAAGGAACAGGCGAAGGCTGCTGAGGAAAGTAGGGTAAGTTTTCAAATACAGTAATGTGATGGAGGACCCCGTGTTGTGAAGGAATTGACAATCGATATCTAGGCGTATGATTTTGTTGTTGCCTGAAAAAAATGTAAAATTGTTAATTCGTCATTCAATTGTACATTCCAGTTTCACCAAACTAAACCTCATATAAGCAACACCACCGTGTAACAAAATTTCGTAAGGAACATTATCATTATTACATAGGCTCAGGCGGAGGCTGAGAGGACAGCAGCAGAGGGTGATATTGAAACGTCACAACTCAATCACGAATCCAAAACTCCACAACACATGTAAGTTGTGCAAATAAGTAGTATCGCAAATATTACAAGTACACCTTTATGTATTATGGTCATCATTATATATTTTTCTATGTCTGAAAATCTGTGGTCTTTCAAAACTCTTGTACTTGACCGTCTGAAATTACACTTTTTGTTCAACTTAAGTGATACTCACATAATATTAAATTTTGTGTTTTTAATCATTGCAGAGATCCCCTGTCGTCGCTAGAGGCTGGCACGGAGACGTCGTGTTGTGAATGTTGTGAGGTGTGCTGCACGGGTACCTGGTACAGGCGGCCGGGGTACGCCTGGTTCAGCGTGCGCGGGAAGGGCGCCGGCTGGGTCACACTGCTGGTCATGTTCCACCTGCTCCTCTGTCTGCCCATCTTTCCTATCATCCTGTTTTATTTCTACACGAGGAGATACTATCAGGAGACATCTCGGCTACATCCAACCGAAGAGTTACCGGTGAAAGAGGAAGGGGAGACAATGTCGCGGGCGATACAGGACTCCTAGGCATAATAGACTTTGATATGATGCACATAACACTAGAACACTAAAACATTTGAAAAGCAAACGCATAATGTTTACCTTCTCATACGCTCTGCTCTGTTAATTCTTACTCAAACACATTCATATATATCGTGACTGGAGTCTAAATCCCTCACGCTATAAAATTGCAACATGATGTAACCAACACTAGATACCATGGTGACAGACGTCTGGTTCAGGTCATTGACGTTATTGGTTTGAATATAGAAGAAGAAGAGGAAACAAAGCAAAAATAAAATATTTTCCTTAGGTAAACATAAATATCTACCTTCCTTAAAATTTGATATATCAGATGCAGAAGTTCACCACCGTTTGGGTCTGTTCCAGTATGAAAATAAAAACATAAGAACTACTGTTACATATTGTGATTTTTTAGCATCCGTTACAACTTACATTTAAAGGATCTAGGACATCATAGTATGTAACGTTAACTTACGTGATAGAAAATATTCCAACAGGTGGTTGGTGCGGGCAGTATGAGATGCTTACCCCACTCCTCCACATGAACGTACCTTCGTATATCCCCAAATATAAGTATTTTTCTATTGTTGTTGTCTTTCTTAATTTTATGTGCATCATGAACAATAAAGATTTGTTTGAAAGCCTAATACTGTGTTTATGTGTTATGATGATGATATGAAGTATTAGCCCGATTGGGTCAGACTTAACAGTGATAGTAAGTAGCTATTTTGTTCCACTACAAAGGAAATACCAAAACCAACTATTATAAACCGACCAACCAACCAACCCGACCACAAAACGAAGTACATTTACTCCACCCACCTTGCGCAGTATACCCTACACGGCGACATAATCTTCGGAAAGTCGAAGGCGGTCGCCTATGGAAAGAAGAAGAAGAGTTAAGGTACATTAAATAATGACATTATACATAGATGTGTATAATGTCCTCAGTGATTAAATGTAGCTAGTTGGCTATATGTGTAACGTTAAATGAAGTCATTTGCATACTCGGGAAATTTGAAATATATCCACTTTTCTAATCAACCACACATTGACAAATGCTTCTTTCGGACTAACTGCACAGTCTCTGTTCAAATACACAAACAAAATTCGATGAGCTGGCAGACGAAATTCGCATGTTCCGTGAATGTTCACTTATTTAAATTTGCATATTGGTGACCTCATCAGCTCGTGTTTCCAATATGGCGGCTTCCAGGCGGGAATTCAAATGCCTGAAGAGGTAAACAACAGTTCGAAACACAGGTAAACGTCCCATGTTCGTGCCCAAATATAACACATAACGTTAGAAACTAATACAGTAATGCTACAGTAATGTGCAGTAGGTACATGGAAAGAGGCCAGAACCGTACTAGGCAAGATTGTCACGTTTAAATATGAGGAAATGTCACGAGGGGGGAGGGGGGCGTACTGATCGCTCAGCTAGAAAAGTATTTTGAAAATGACCGAGAAAATAAAATATTTGGATGTTCCCAGTGACGTGTCGACATCATAGCGATACGGTACATGTAGATTCTTCTTGCTACTGAGATAGACATATTCGTCGTTTCTGTGACAGATGGTTGAATATTTACTAAGTAGGCAAAAATAATATCTGAGACACGTGTGTTTTTGTATAACGGTCTAACATAAATGCCTTATGTAGGTGAGAGAAGGACCACCATGAGTAGAATAAATGATGGTGCTGGGCCTTCAACACGCAGACATGGCAACAATCGCCCCCCTCCTAAAACAAGAACTGGAGTAACTGTAAGTTGGGTTGCTTTGCTTTTGGTATGTTTTGATTAAAAATATAAAATACTTTACATCCAACTTGGTCTTAAATACATTATGCATGTAATAAGTTGATACAAGTTGAGACATAAGACATATCAAATCTTGTCATACATGTGTGTAACTGTTTGTGTGTGTGTGTGTGTCAGGGTCGGACATACGGGTACACAAAGCTGTGTGATGTAAAAGTCAGGACAACAGTGAACGTGTATGCTGCTGTCAAGTTCTTCAAGCCACCATTTCGGTCCAGAGGAACAGGTATAGAAGTCTCTTGCTTATTGTGGGATAGTTAGCTTTAACCATTCTTGGGGTAACATACTATACCTTTGCAGGCACAATGCAGCATCTGCCTGCATGTCTCTCACCAAACAACTAAATAATGTTTAGTCTTGTAAGTCTGACTCCATTTGCTGTTTGAAACTATTTAATGAAGACTCCCCTACCATATCTGATACAATGTTACATTCTACAACAGTCTTAGGAAAGAATATATTCAGTTTTAAGACCTCAATCCTTGTGAAATAATTCTTGAAACTTGCTACTGCTAGTCATGGCTCTCTTGTTCTTTTTTTGACCAGTGTAAGATGCTTCCTTGCCAGTACATCTTTACAAACTTGTTTGTCACTAATGTCGTAATGATCCCATTATAGATATTTGTGAAAGCCAATCTCTGAATAACTAACATGAATCTTCCAGATTATTGTATGGTGGTAAGACTTGTGGACCCATCTCTAGACAACCTTGATGATGGACTGAAGTGCCTGTTCTTTGCCAAGGAACAATCCATCCTGCCACAGATTCACTCAGTCGGGGACATCATCAGGATACACAGACTTAAGGTGAAGGTACCTTATGTTTTGGAGGGTTAATGTATGTAACTGTTAACCTTCTTACTGCTGTCCTACCCACACACTAGTGCAGATGTTGTCCCAAAAGGTCACCTTACAGTGGTCGAAATACTTTGTTTCAGTGCTCTGCAATATTGCAGAAGAGTCAAAATTTTGTTCTGCAATTTGGAAAAACTTTCTGCAAAAACATACTAAAACATACTAATAAAAGACACAAAAAAAAACAGTTACTCAAGTAGCTGTACTCTCATCTGCCAAATAAACATACGGGTACGTTTATTTTTTTGGGCCCAAACATCTACCCAGTACGTTCTTATTTTGCACAGTACGTTTATTAATTTTTTGAAAACCAGTAATTTTTTTCAACTTCGTGTGAAAAAAATTGACAAATCATCGACGTGAAGACGTTTATAAACGCATATTGTAGCGAGAAACTTGTCATTTTTGGGCCGGTTTTTGCAATCACCGCGTGCATAAATTCGTCTGAATGTTCTATTGTCATGGGTGGTGCTTATCAAAATACAAAATATTAAATGCTCTTTTTTTTGTCTATTTAAATTCCTAATTGCAAATAACAGTTAAAGATTTGTGCATATATCAGTAAGGGTGCATTTTAGTACAAGAGACACAGGTTACCCGTCAATTTTGGTAATTTTCCGGGGGGTACGTTTACTCCGGGGGTATGTTTATTTGATTTTGAAGATTTGTCCGGGGGGGGGGGTACGTTTATTCCGGGGGGTATGTTTATTCGGCAGATGAGAGTATATAATTTTGGTGCTACCTAAAATGGTCAGACTACTACCTTTCATCAGTGACACTAAGAGACTGAAGGAGAACTGTAGGTTTATAAGCAAAAAGTATTGATTGATTTGCAAATTAGTGAAGACAAATTTTTGGAAGTCCAAAGGGAAACAAAAGATAGACAAGTCAAGACACGGATGATGCAAATTAGTGAAGAAGTTCCTGTTGTTTCAAAACAGGAGCTCAAGTGTTGTCTGTCCTTGATAGGACCTGAGAGTGCTAGTTTGCTAAATTGAAAACTATTGAATCTGGAGAATATTTTTCCTTCTGCAATATTGCAGATTGTATAAATTTTTCCTCTGCAATCTTGAAAATCTATCTGCAGATTGCAGACTGCAGACAGGTATTTCGAACACTGCCTTAGTAGGGAGAAGGTTAAACGATGTACTTCAGTTGAATAGCTGCTCCATTTATAAGGTTAAAGTAGGGAAAAGCAGTCATTTGTTTTTCATTGACTCTTTCGTTTCTTTTCTGAACACCATAATTGTATGATTCATAGCTTATCTTATAATTATATTTTACTACATAACATGCCTGTCTCCTCCCTTTCAAAGTAATTTGTACCTAGAAGTAATCTTAAGACCTTTTCACTGAGTAAAGACTAAAGATATTGATGCTAGCATTGCAGTCAACCTTTGCATACAGATGTAACAATAGACCCGATCCCGAATGTCCATCACAATTATAAATTTATCCAACGAGAGAAGGGCAATTAGTGGTTCGACCAATGAGGGAGTGGCTAAATGTCTGTCAAATGCTGTTTGCATTTCTATGATGGAGGTGGGCGGGGCTTCAGGATCGGTCTATTGATATTGGGTGTGTCCTGAGTTTAATAAAATTTTATATTCCTTCACACAGGTTGATAACTTCCGAGACGAGCCCCAGGGTAACAAGGGTCCAGGTTTCTCCTGTCTGGTGTTTGACGGTAGACCAGGCGCCACGGTCGACCCTCGCAGCGACTCACAAAACTTCACATTTGGACCTGAGGATGAAGAGAAGGTTTCTAGAATCTCTCTTCTGTCACTTCTGATCGATAAACTTTCAAAATGGCAAGAAATGTTTGTATAACTCTGTTTTCATCTTGTTCTGACTAGTAAATTGCACTCCTATTGCACTACCTGGAGGGGCTCATGATCAGTTAGCCTATGGCAATGACATATTGTATAACACTGGCCAGCTTTCATTACAACATCTTATGCTGGAGTCACATTTCCAAGCCGGTCAGTTGGTGAGAATGAAAAATATGATATAAACCTTATATCAAACGTTTAAAAGATGTATGTTTTGTTCATTCAAACAGCCTGACCAGGCCCCGCCTTAGAAGTGTGACTCCAACATTACTAGATCTTTGCCTTAAAACCCAGGTGTGGCCTCAACTGGATAGAGAACTGATTCATGTCTTTGTCTGCATTCAGGTATTGGAGCTGCGTGACTGGGTTGCTCTAACCCCAGAGTTAAATGTTTCAAACTGTGAGCTTACGACCCTTGCTGATGCCGAGGAGGGACAGTATTTTGATCTTTTCTGCCAGGTACAGATTTATCATCAGATTCTGTTTCTGTGTTCTTTATAAATTATTGTACCTTGTGAGCTCTAGCACTAACACAGTGTATACTCTTCCACTATTAGTATTACATGACTTTGTGTTTTTGTATTGTTTCTTTGAATAAGGATCAATTTTACTGCTCTTTAAATCAACATGAGTGCATGTATTAGAATTTGTAAATTAAGTGAATGTTCTTGTCTCCTGTCCAGATTGTGTCCATGGCCAAGGTTGATGCCACATGTGTACTGTTCCAGGTCTGGGATGGCACCATACCAACAGAGTATGTTACCTGTACATGTTCTGATATACATGTAACCGTTTTATCTACTAGACTGTTTAACCATACGTATGCTTGCTCCCTTGGACTACTAGTGAATGTAAGGAGTACCTTACTTGGATATGGTAGCCTAGGCCCACACAACAATACACACACACACACACACACATAGAACATGAAAGATATTCAGACATTCATGTTAGTACATGTAAGAAAACATTGAAACCAAAATCATTATCCAGTACCATGCTAAATACATGTCCTTGTCTGTGTGTGCTTTTTATCCTGATTTCTTCTGTCACCATAGAAATCTTTATTGACACAACAAAAAAAGAGACTTTCGTATGGTCTTCTACAGCTACAGACAAAATGTGAGAAATGCACTAACATACAAGTGATCTTATGGACACAGGCAACTCTCCATGAAAAATAAAGGCTGTTTTGTAAGATTGTGGGATGTTCTAAAAATTCCCTTCCCTCAGACCCTTCAGAAAGGCCGACCTTGAGGGACTCACCCTGGACCGAAAAGCTGACCTGGCCCAGAAGGTTAAAGGTCACCTGGTGGATGTCTTCATCTTTGATGACCATGTGCCGACTGCTCTAAGATTCAAGGTTGAAGTTCAATGAATCATACTTTTTACACATTTACATTCTGACTTGTTTTTGTAAATTGCGTGTATCACTGTCCAGTAGACTACACAGATTTTGTTCTCAACCTTCTCTCTGCTGCCTAACCCTAGCCTAACCCCATAAGTAAGGAGGTTATTGGGATATACAATGTACATGTAATCTCGCGCTCTCTGCCATAACTAATAGAGAATTAGTGAGCAAATGGCTACTTCAGTGTACTAGTATCTCTATCGGTATAGCCGGTATAACCGCCCTTTGGCATAAGACAGGTTATAACATACAGTACAGTCAGTGTGTTTGCATTCACAATGTAAATATTAGCAGTTATGTTAGTCACAATATCGATATGCAGTTTGTTAGACTTTGCCCAATGGGAATGTATTCTAAAATAAAATTTGACCACATTGAACATATATCTGGCAAAGATGTTTGAATGTTGACAGGGATGACATATCTCACATGTGACACAAGTACATGTATACTCATTCTATAGATACTGGTAGTACATACATTGTATGACTACAAATCTTTCATTACTTGACACATACATTTTCCTCTGGCCTGTAGCCTGGTGACTTTGTGAGGATCTGTAACCTGCATGTGGCAAAGTACAAGCCCCCAGATGACGCGGTCAGACCGTCTGGTCAGCTGGTGGAGTTTGTTGTACACAAGGGAACGTCATTCGGACGGGGGCTGACACCACTCTCCTCAGATCACCCCAACCTCATGGATATGAAGAAGTTTGTTTGTTTCATATCACTGAATTTTTTTTAGTTTATATTTGATAAAGATTATTGCAAATTCTTGCCTGAGTGCTAAACACAAGTAACTGGAAAAGGACAAACATAAGGTAATTGTTTGGTTTGACGTCCTTTTCTGAGACAGTACAAGATGAACAATCCCACTAATATATCATTTCCGATATTATTAGAAGTAGCTGATGATTATGATGACGAGTTATTAAAAGATCAAACTATGCATTATCAATAAAAGCAATTTATGAGATAAACAATTTGTTGAATGCTGACATCTGTTTTCAACAGTGCTATGAAGCAAGTCATTGAGAGCAGCACCACAGCAGAAGAAGCTACAAGTGAACAAGATGATGATGCCTGTGGTCCTGTCAAAAGGAAGAAAACTGGAGAAAGTTCAGCTGAGAGTGTTGGCTCACTAGTGGAGGGGGACAGCAATGTACAGCAAGGGACCAGCATGGTATTTGTGGGGGACAGTAATATGGAGGAAATTGACAAAATTGTACAGCAAGGAGACAGCATAGTACAAGGGAACAATGTTTCAAAAGAGAGGGACAGCAATTTGCAAAAAGGGAATAGCAAAAAGAAAGGGAAGAGCAGCACTGTGCCAGAGGAGGGCAGCTTTGCCAGCAGCTCTAACAGCACTAACAGACGGTGCTTACTGGAAACAGGGACAGGTGGGTTGACATTGTTTTGGGTAAAAATTGTCAAAATGCTAATCATAATTTAAAAATGACTAGTGGGTCATCAGTTGATATATGATAGTCATAAGGCAGGGCGTTTTCTTACCAAACTTCTCTTTCCAGAAATACATACTTTTTCCACACTGTTTTAATACTGTTTCTATCTCTTTCCAAGTGAAGATTCTCTGTGCTTTAATTGACTTAACACAACAAATTTGTACCTATAACATTAACTGTTCACCATTCTTTTTTCCTGTAGTTCTTACAGGTCACCACCACATAAAAGTGACACCGATCCATGCAGTGTTGACTCACTCCACTCCCTTCAAGTTCCGTCTGAAGGCCCAGCTGGTGGACTACAGCCCCAGGGACATCACAGAGTTCTGCAACCTCTTCTGTTACACCTGTAACTATTGGTGAGGGCTGAAATGTGTGTGTGTGTGTGTGTGTGTGTGTGTATTTGTGTGTGTGTGTATTTGTGTATATGTATTTGTGTGTGTGTATATTTGTGTGTATATGTATTTGTGTGTGTGTGTGTGCATTTGTGTGTGTATGTATTTGTGTGTATGTATTTGTGTGTGTGTCTGTGTGTATTTGTGTGTGTGTATTTGTGTGTATGTATTTGTTTGTGTGTGTGTGTGTGTGTATTATATTTGTGTGTGTGTGTGTGTGTGTGTATTTGTGTGCCTTCAAATTTTACCTGCACTGCTCGGATGAATAGGTTTGATGTCCATCTTCCTTGCAGTATAAAGATTCCGCCTTCACTGAAACAGAAGGTTTGTCACAAAGAAGGAAGTGAACCCTCTGACAGCAGTTTTCCCTGTCTTCAGTGTAAGAGAAGACAGTCCAGTGATGGAAATGCAGGTAAGACAAAGATCTTTTTTGATTCTCAAAGGCACAACAGTACATAATATATAGATAGATTTTTAAAACTGTCAGATGTTTGAAGTAGCATCCACTACTTTTCATCAGTGACTGGATGTCTAACCTTCATAGACATACTTGACATGTACTCATGGATGTCGGTGATTATTCAAAAGTGCGAGGAATTTTATACTGCCCATCAAGATAAAAGTTACAATAATCACAACCTTACATTAAGATCTGTTTGTTTGTTTTTTTGTTATTTATTTGTAGAATCTGCTGTTGTCCCCAACATGAAGTACATCTACATTGTAAAGTTGACCCTGGATGATGGGACAGGGTTGCTGGAGGTTCACATGTGGAAGGAGCATGCTGTAAGTATAGCACAACTACATTCCAATAATCTTTGCTACATCATCGTAGTCCTTTGTTGGTTTGTTGTGTGTTATTTGATACATTTGTACATTCCTAATACACTCATCTCTTTGAATTCTTTCTACCACATTTCAGGAGGTGTTTTTCAAAGACCTGCCACCATGCAACCTGTACCAACATCAGGAAGACAGACAGGTTTGTTTATTTGTTTGTTTGTTTGTTTGTTTGTTTAAACTGTGTGTGACTCTGCAGTATTCAACTAACTACTGATAGAAAAGCAAACAAATAAAAAAACCACGTCCAAAACAAATCTGTCATCTGTACATGTAGATAATGAACAGTGCATGATGTATTCACAAGTTAAATTTCATACCTTTCCAGTAGCATGTATGTTAGGTGTGTTACAAATGCTATGATTTGAATCTTCAGTCTCTAGGTTCATCAACATATATTACTGTACTCGCTGCAGGTGCTGTCTGATTACATGCAACAGCTGTGTCCAGGTGCTGGCAGTCAGACAGCTGCACCCTGGCTGGAATGTTGCATCATGTCTTACACTGTGAAGGACTCAGGCCCTGCCTTGTACCAGATCTTTGACACCACACTCGCACTGGAGGCAGCATAGACTTCAAAATAACACAAGCTTCAATAGTTAACATTGTACATTTAATAGTTGTGTATGTTCAAACTTACAAGTATGTTGTTGTAGTGGCCCACCTAGAGTAAAGCTGGTACAACTGCATCTCATTTATTTACTTTACATATTTCATCTTGAGAGCGACTAGGTTATACAACACTAGTTTAAAAGCAAAACTACCTCTTTAGTCCAGATATTGTTACATATACATGTTACGTTTTACCTACAGAGGAAGGGTTTGTACCTTGCCTTTGACAGCAGTAGTGGCCAAATTAGTTTTTCATGTCCAATTTCTTGCCATATGTATTTGACAGTATAGAGGGCAAATGGCAATGGTAAGTTGCAGTTGTGTCTAGTTATGACCTACAAAGTTAGAACGATCATGACGTGCAAAATTTAGTACTGCTGTCTTAGCTTGTGGTCAGCTATTGTTCTATGTAAATTACTCTCTACTGTGTGGGGTAACCCTGCCTTTGGAGATTGAGAGTTTCAATCGGATAGTCTTACACATTGTACTAACTTACTTTAACAAAACTGGTGTTACGCCTTGAGGCAGTGAGCTGATCTATGTGATATTAACAAACTGAAATAGAAAGCAAACGATGAACCAGTCCTGATGCACAAGTAACACTACAGACAACAGAATTGTGTTTATTTAAGTATAGCGCATATAAACAGCACACTACTTAAAAGTACTTTTGAGCTTAAGCATGTAGGAGTTCTTTTTAGAAACAGATATACTAAAAAAGTGCATTAATTCACCGAATATGGGTGCTATTAAAACCGCATGGTCTCTATTGCGAAGTCTCACTGAAGAGTTATAAGCTCCAGACAGTGTTACAAATTCCAGATGTTTAAGCTAAGCGTGACAGAGGAGTTAACTGATACCAAAGGCATCCAATGCGATTTCAGAGCAGCAAACCTGGAACTATATTAATTGAAGGCAATCTTTGTGATATTGACACATACTACTTCACATTAGCACATTTCAATCATTTAGGCATTTAAAACTGCAGAACCAAACCCCAAGATGAGCCCTTTATTTTCTGGGTGGTACCCTAAAAATCAGCCCAGGGCTCTTCCAGTAACCATTTTCCGTCAGAAGTTGGGGAATTTTTACTCCATGAGGGTCAATGTACATTGGGATAGTATGGTTTCAACTCAGTACGTAGACTAATGACTAGAATATTGGCTTTGAACAACCTGGTTTCCAAGCCCTAAAAACTACACTGGATGACTTTAAACGTGCCACCTGATACACGCCAGCCCAGCTGTCCTAACCGGAATGACGTCATCACGTCTCCCTGACATGTGCAGGTTGCACGACTCCCGGTGTGGTGATGAAACTTGATATCGAGAGTCTCCGTGTGGTCTTAGTTATCTACAGTGAAGTCCAGTCTACGATCCTGGAACAAAGAAAGATTCGTCCCATTCCCTCCAAAATGGTAGAAATTATGGCACGGCAGTGTCGTAATACATATATACGCTCTACCCAGTCAACAACGTTACCGCGTTTACCAGTTGAGGCATAGTACTAAATATGCTGTTGACGCATATAAGCATAATGGTCATAATGAGGTCTGAACTCTTTCGTTCAATCAGATACAACACGTGGAGATACTGTTGTCAATTATGATTGCGTTACACCTTCAGCACATTAATAGTACGATTCTAGTTCTTCTGCCACCTCATTGTAACCCATAGGCCTATCGCGGGTCAGTTATGACATTAGCATTAGATATCATATTAACGACGACTTGAAAATAGACCCCCAAAAGATTACCGCATATACAAGTTTTAGTTGTTTTGTTTTTGTAAACAAGCAACGTTATTGCTCTAAAACTGTAAGTGACTTTACCTTACACTTGTTACAGAAAATTTCTCCAATTGTTATGTTTTCGTCTGTTCTGGTCTCATAATCACTCACGCCTCTCATACTATCCATTACAAATGTAACCAGACGTCTTCTTAAGGTCGGACCCTTTCTAACAAATTGGATTCCGATCGTCCTGACTCGCACTGTCATTGCGGGAACGTCTGCAGGAGAAAAATTGCGTGGAAATAATCTGCCCAACAATACCGCCATCGGCGAGCCCAAATGTTCTGAACTTTCCACATAAAGGCTCCCGCGCATTAACCTTTTCCTAACGTGGAATTTCAATTAAAAGCAGAGTAAGTAATAACTAAAAAGCCCTCTGAGTTGTGTTGTAGAATTACGCTCCATTGGAGATAACCTTTCCTTTGACACTTCGCAATTGTAAATGGTGTCATCTTGCATAACTCATGAAAAGATATTCCGTCATGCATGTTAATTCATACAGATGTGAAAAAGTGTGATATTTAAAAACGTGTATAGCGAAGTTCGTATTTTCTAGAATTTTCTTGAGACAAACAAAGGGCTTCAACCTCCCGCTTTTCGTATCAAACCACGTTGCCAGAGTAATTATAATACTTCTTCCTCCCTTTGTTTTAGAGGGGCTAAATTAACCGGACGTTGAGAGGGTTGATCTAATTTTAGAAGCGGAAGTCTGCCTCTCGTGCCCGGGGTCCGCACAACTTCCCGCCCACAAAATGTCACGTTATCTGGGAGGGAGACAATGAAACTTTCATTAACGTGATTAACAAAAGGGCCTATAAATGACGAGAGAAACGCGGTAAATGCCAGAAGCGTGCAGAGAGGGTCTGTGGTCAGGTTGGGGACGTTTGGAAACAGGTTGTCGGAAACTCAGTGGAAGAAAACATGCCGGTAGCAGGAGGAGAAACAAAGGAGAGAGGGGACAACGAAGAGAACTTAGAGTAAGTATAATTGTTTTCTGTTCTGCTGTAGTATCTTCAGATTTTGTAATTCAGTGATTTTGTGAGTGCCTGATTGTGATGTATGACCGTTATACACTGCATATATACAACTAGCTGCTGTCTCGGGATAAAACGACGGCAAATACGAGAAATTAGGGTCATCATAGTAGAAGTAAACATAACCTAACATTTACGCTTTATATTCATCAAATGAAATTTCATTTGAAGGTTCCCCCTAGACTTGAGTTTTCTCCCTATAGATGTTGGATTTTTTTAAATAGTAGTAGGTGATTTACTCTGCATCTTATAAGAAAGGAATAGAAAAGGATCCTATATTTATGAAGGCGCCTTCGAGTAAAATCAGGTCCCGCACTGTCACTGGGCTAACAGAACAGTATTGGATGTGGTAGTGAAGTACACATTTCTCCATGTAACGAGTCATTTGTGATATGTATGTAAGGTTTAAATGAACATTTCTGGTGGATTTAGAAGGTTTGCGGTCGAAGATGCGAGCATTCGTCTACGTTTAACACGTTCTCATTTAGTTCGAGACGCTATCCTCCGTCCAATCAAGGAGCAAATGATAGCAAACTGAAGTTTCTACCTAGAAGCAAACATGTTATAATAAAGCAATCCCACCGAGCCTGTGACCGAGGCTATGGATGACGTGACGTATCAGATGTTTATAGTTCGAGCGGTAGATCCCACGGAGCCTGTGACCGAGGCTATGGATGAGTTGTTAGTACTTCGTGCGGCACGTATCAGCAGTCTTATATGTGTCCACACCGAGCCTGTGACCGAGGCTATAGATGAGTTGTTTGTAGTCCGTGCGGCACGTATGAGCAGTCTTATCTGTGTCCACACCGAGCCTGTGACCGAGGCTATAGATGAGTTGTTAGTATTTCGTGCGGCACGTATCAGCAGTCTTATCTGTGTCCACACCGAACCTGTGACCGAGGCTATAGATGAGTTGTTAGTATTTCGTGCGGCACGTATCAGCAGTCTTATCTGTGTCCACACCGAGCCTGTGACCGAGGCTATAGATGAGTTGTTAGTAGTTCGTGCGGCACGTATCAGCAGTCTTATCTGTGTCCACAGGGAGACCGTTAACGAGGTTCTGGACATCCACCCTACCCAGCTGCAGTGTGGCGGCTGCAGTAAGAACATTTCCGACAGATACTTCCTCAAGGTTAGCATATCTCTTGATCTTTTATATAAGACGTGTACTTAATAGTCTTGGCCGCATGGGCCGAGGTTAGGTATTCATTAGCATTAGTCGTTTTATTGTATTGGTTTGTTTCTGGTTTCTTAACGTGTAAATGGATGTTTCATTCTTCGGAGTTGGTAGTGCCGAATAAATGGTTAGATTTTTTAATGTACGGAGAATCCCACCGTCGTACTCAGAGGGGCACGGTTCAAAAGAGACGTTTAGCAGCTACATGAAGCACTGCAGCCAAAAGGCGTCTTCTGAGCAACAGCGGCATCATTGGCTATATTGAAAGTTGTCGTTGTTCACTGATTTAGACGTTTCCCCACAGGCAATGGACGAGTACTGGCACGAGGACTGTCTGTCGTGTGACCTGTGCGGGTGCAGACTGGGGGAGGTGGGCAGACATCTGTACAGTAAATATGGCAGGAAACTCTGCAAGAGAGACTACCTAAGGTACATGTACGAGACATGGATGCTGTGTATGCGCTAGATAATACGTGTAGGTTGTTCAAATATTGTGCTCAGTGGAATCGTGTTGGTGTAATACGACAGAGCGTTCGGCTCGGAACCAAGAGGTCCCTAGTTCGAATCCTGCCATGCCACCGATCTTGTGCCCTTCATGGTGAAAATGAGTATGTCTGTTGTCCGTTCATGCGTTTATCTGCGTTGGCGGCGGCATTGAAATAAGTTTTCAAAAAACTTGTGTGAGCCGTCGCCATGTCTTGTAATAAATGTCGGAAAAGAAAAAGGAGTATTGTGCCATGATATGATTGCACAATAATGATTTTCTTACCTCTGGTTCTGTAAAGAAGATCAATAAAGGCACCCCTTAGTTCAATGGTACAATATTGTTTTGTGTTGTGTTGCATAATATGGCATTGTATGTGTAAAGATGTCCATTAAAATATACTCCATAGACGTTATCTTTCTATTCTTCCCTGGCAGTCTTTTCACCGTAAAGAATTCTGAGTTACCTCCACTAATCTTACATGTACCCAATCAGACACGACGTGTGTATTTTTGCAGGTTGTTCGGGAAAGATGGAACCTGTTGCGCTTGTGGGAAGCGTATCCGGGCTTACGAAATGATGATGAGGTCACTTGACAAGGTAGATATATTTTATGTCTACAGTTGGGTTTTTTCCTCAAGAAAAAGACGGTATCTTCCAAAGTCCATGGTCGATTTAATTTCCTAACAACTAAGCACTGTAAATTAAAGAAACGTTCATTTATTGACATACAATACCACATTACATGTTATAAAGCATGACGATCCCAGAAACTGCTAGACTTACCATATATAGATAACAAAACTACATGGCATCATGGAACATGAAGTGAGAAATGTTCAACAACGTTCTTTTATCACTGTATCCTTGTGTATTTTCGGCGTGCGGACATGACGAAATTTGCGTAGCTAGCAGCGTATAATTTGCTCTGAGCTACGTAGGCCAAGCCCGTCATCACTAAAAACATACGTATCTAAGTAAAGAAAAAAAAGTTAGAATTATTGTTAGTATGCTATTATTACAATTCTCGGAGCCCCAAAACACTGATTATTTGTTGAGAAATTATGGTGCCGACTTGTCCTGGGCTTGGTGCCGAGTTGTCCTGAATGACGGCCGAGTTGTCCCAGGGGCCGAGTTGTCCTGACACCTTTCTTTATCTTCCAGGTGTTTCACCTGGACTGTTTCAAGTGTTTCACCTGCAATAAGAACTTCTGTGTGGGAGACAAGTACGTGCTGATGGAGAACACCATCTTCTGTGATAACGACATCCCGGAGTTCAGGGAACTGATTTCTGACGACTGAAAATTTCCACTTGGCTGTTCGATACGTTACATATACTGTACTGGTATTGTTGATACAAATGTCAAATGTGTGAAAATTGTGTTCCAGGGTTTCCACTACATTCTTGTGATGCTTGAACGTACATGTACAAGGTCAAAGTGTCTGAAATCCAATTCTGAAGAACGAAAATTTATCCTCACGATAGTCTATGCATCAGAGCCTGCGGATGATTGATTGACTGGTTGATTGATTGATTGATTGATTGATTGATTGATCGATTGCTTAATTGATTGATAGTCTATGCAAACTAGTATGTCAAAGTGGTGGATGGAACGGTACTATATATATATATATATATATTACAATGACACAATATTACATCTGATCATAAGATGTCAACTAAAATCCATTTTCTTTTTCTTACGAAAATTAGCAAACATGAGGATACACCAATAACATCGAGTCAGTGTGGTGTATTATAGTACAGTTCAGTTTCTGAGAAGCGTTATGTTGGCGGTCTATCATAGCCTTCTTCGCAGACTTCCCTACGCGGCATAACTCGCGTCGCTGTCCGAAAAAATAACGCTGCCGCCTCAGAAGTCTGCGAAGGAGGTTAGGTCTATCATATAGATATACTAGTAGTACAGTTCAGTTGTTGAGAAGTGTTGTTAAGTAATGTAATAACGGCGGTCTACAAGCACAGTTCAGTTGTTGAGAAGTGCTGTGCTGTTGTCGGTCTATTATGGTACAGTTCAGTTGTTGGGAAGAGTTGTGATGTTGGCGGTCAAATAATTCAGTCCAAGTTCAAGAAGTGCTGTGATGTTGGCGGTCTACTAGCACAGTTCAGTTGTTGAGAAGAGTTGTGATGTTGTCGCGGTCTACTAGCACAGTTCAGTTGTTGAGAAGTGTAGTCATGTTGGCGGTCTATTGTAGCACAGTTCAGTTGTTGAGAAGTGCTGTGATGTTGGCGGTCTACTAGCACAGTTCAGTTGCCGACAAGAGTTGTGATGTTGGCGGGAGTGCCGGAGGGTCCGGCCGTGGTGACGGGTGCGGTACACACGGTCCAGGGCGGGAAGTCCTGCAGCTGGTACAGCGGCACACCGTACGTGTTGATGGCGATGTTCAACACGAACAGGCAGAGCAGGTTTAACCCCAAACCGCTCTTAGCCTGTAATAAAATAGTTTATTGGTCAAATATTACCTATCCTGACATGCCACAGATCTTGTGCCCTTGGGTAAGGCACTTTACACGACTTTCCTCACTTCGCTCAGGTGAAAATGAGTATTGTATTGTCCCCTGTGTTGGTGGCGGCATTAATATAAGTTGAAAAAACTTGAGTGTGCCGTCACCACGTCTTTTGATTACATGTTGGAATTAAAAAATATATTACTTATGCAATCGCAGCCTTTTGTAGCGCTGAATAATACAAATGATACATGTACATATAACATATTTGCTCCACACACTTTTGTGGAACTGTAGCAAGGGTCTGTGCATCTGCCATTCGGCGCCACCAGGTGACCTCAATACAACTTCTGTCCAACCTAAGTTAGGTACCCATTCACACCTGGGTGGAGTGAGGAAAGTCGTGTTAAGTGCCTTTCCCAAGAGCACAACGTCGGGGCGCATGTCCTGACATGTCCCGGATACAACTCAGGATCGAACCCGGGTCTCACCGGTTCATAGTCAAACGCTGTACCACTACGCCACCCGACGTCACACAATACAAAACATTTTCCGTGAGCACAGACTGAGGTTTACAATTAATAGCATCCAATGCAATTTCACATAGTGCCCCACGTTACTTTAGCATCAGTATTTCATACTTCGGGCTTATAAAACAGCGAAGAAACAAACCCAACAAGAATTCCGAGATCTCATACCTCCATGAAATATGGGCTTGATATGTAAATGTAAATTTCCTCTTTAATTATGCAAATGACCTCCGCATTAACACGATATATGCATCGTGATGTATGTTAACTTTTGATTAAGTTACAGATGTCCCAAGTATGACATTCCCATCATTCCCCATTAAGAAATCATAGAATTTTTGCATAAATTATGCAAATTAGGTCATCATTTGCATAATTAGTATCTGTTGATGTTCTGCCTGCCATAGGTTACATACATTACATGTATGAAAGTAGTATAATGTAAAACACTGTAATTATAGAATTTCCTCATTAATTATGCAAATAAAGTCCTCATTTGCATAATTTGCATTTAATCATGTACATCTCTCTCTCAGCTACCTACACACCAAAAATTATTAAAATATGTTGTTCCTATCTGGACTTATTGGCTTTTAAACATTTCGCCAGAAAGTGCCCTGCAGTTCCAAAACAAGCTGCTAGGGGGACCAAACTCACACCACTTATTCCTGACAGGAAAAGCAATCTGTCACCAAAACATCAAGACCATAGCATGTTCAGGACAAAAGATACAAAAACCGGAAGTTCTGCTGCAGTACCAAGGTCATCCACCAGGAGGCCCATATTTGACCTTGACGTTTGTCTTCCTAAGACTTACCAACATACCGAATATCATCATAATCCATAAAGGCGTTCTGAAGTTATGCTGACCACAAAGTTGCGGAAACACAGACAGATAGACAGACACACAGACATACATACATACATACATACAGACAGACACGCCAAAAACAATACCTCCATTTTTCATGGAGGTAAAAATGAATCCTTTATTTTTCGTGTCCCTTTCGAGTTGTAAAGGAAAAATTTTTCGTGGTAAGAATATCTCCACACTAACTTACCATGTCTAGCACCTTGATGCGTCCGTATGAGAAAACAATGGCGTTGGCCGGGGTTGCCACGGGCAACATGAAGGCAAAGGAGCAGGCGATAGCGGCCGGTATCATCAGGTAATAGGGGTGGACACATATGCCCTGCGCCTAGGGAAAGGCAATGATAAATAAAATTTAATGTTGAAAAATCTAACTTTAGTTTCATGTACATGTCAAAGCAGAGATATCGATGCACATGAATTAACAAGAAACGTCATACCAGAAGCAAACTCTAGTACTAGTAGATAGTGTGCCCCTTTGAATCAACTAATATACTTAACTACAGTTATATATAGTTTATGAACTAAACATACTGAACTCTGTATCTGTATCAGTATAGCCGATATAACCGCCCTTCGGCGTAACACACCAGCTTCGTAGGCACGCAGCGCGGCAGCTGGCCACATTACACCGAACGACTTGTTACACCTAACCCTTGAACATCCAACTCTAAACATTGTTTAAAACTATCTAAGGATAATGCCCTTAACTTGGTGACAGCTAGTTCCACTCTGCGATAGTTCTAGGAAAGAATGAATTTTTTAACACCTCAATCCCTCAGGTACTTGAAGGCATGACTATTTCTTGTTCTTTTCTGAGCTGGTATTAGGTACTTAGTAGTTGGTACATCCACCAGTTTATTAGCCATTATCAAGTAAACATACGAACTGACCAGCGTTCCGAGGATGGGGAGAAAGATGGACGCCGCGGAGGTGTTGCTGCTGAACTCTGTGATGAAGGCTATCATGATCGTGATGATGATGACGATGAAAGCCGGAGAGAACCCCTCCAGGCCCCGGAAACCCTGTCCCATCCACGCCGATAAGCCAGACACCTGAAACACCAAACGTGCACTGTTAGTTACGGAATTCGTTACATTACGTGCCATAGATAAATTCAATTTCATTCTAGAAGGTAATAACCTTTACTGTGTGTACAAATATGTAAATATATCAAAGAATGTTTCAGACCTTAGAACAAGTAGTATAAGTTGATTCATTTATAGTCTTGTGCGTAGGCCAATTCTTTTGTACCCACGTGTCTCTATGTATATCTAGTTGAAGACCTTACGAAAGTCGCCGTACTTTCGTTGTGTCACCTTAGTTCTTATGGCAGGAAAACATAACCAGGGCACGAAGTACTCGATGCATGTGAACCACAGTGCAGGTAATAAACATGAGGCTACACAAGATACAAGTTTCCAACCTTGACTCCGTCCGCCAGTGCATATCCTCCCCCCAGTAGAATGATGACTTCCCAGGATAAGTTCCGTTCCACGGTGGGCCAGTCTAGGATGGACGGGCCCGGCTCGTCATCAGACGGGTGAAGATCTGAAGACAACAAGACTGGCAATGAAAACATACCTTGCCACGGCAACGGTGGTTGCTGTTAGGGTTATTGTTTGCATGGCACTGCCATCATTTCGTGATTTTGAGGAAGACTTGATACATGTTAAGTCTAGACAGACACAGTGCACTCCTCCCCTGAGTGTATAATGAACGAGCCACAGGGCCACAGAAAGTAGGGCCATCTGGGGCAGAGAGGTCTTCTCAAGGGATTCCAGGAATGCGGGCATAGATGTGGACATTCCATTCCTGTAGACAAAATGCCTGTACCATTCCTAAAATTCTTGCAAACTGCACACAATACTGTACCATTAGGCTCCTCCCTGAGATGTCGCCAAAAAATTGTCGAAGACAATCAATATCACACGGTGTTTATGTTGCATTTTCTAAGTTTTAATGAATTTACTAGAACCATGGAACCATGTCTTCGGACAAAAACATTAATCGTATTTGTATAACGTCTTCTGCAGGAAGCTGGCAAGAATTTGTTTGTTAGAGATATCTGGAAGTCAATATGAACGTACACATACAGGGCACGAAAATACACAGTTGGCTAAGTACGTATGTTACAAAGTGCTTTGTCTTTGATTATCACTTAGGTTCAAGTGCATCTCAATAAGAAAATCAGCATGAAAGTTCATCTGAGTTGGTAAATTACATTATGAAAAACTTGAACTTTTCTCCAACTCAAAATCTTATATCAATACGAAAATGTTGTTCAAGAGTAAAAATTGAAATAATTAGCATAATGAGCAAGATATGAAAGTTATGAGAGTTTTGAAGGTTCAGCTGAAGTTGCATTTTACACCAATGGCTTGGTCAGCTTTCAGTGTGCTACTCTTAAAACTATTTCATATATATTGCGTGATTAACTGCAATACAGACCTTCCCTCCCTCTGCTAGGCGGTCTAGCTGGCCAGATGAACAGGGACAGGCATATCAGGAGAACCGCTGAGGAGTCTGTTACATAGCTGAAGGAGAAAACCAATAGATGTTATGGAAAATTTCAAATTGATCTTTTCGCAGGTAATGTACGAGTCTAAAAGGTAGAGTCAGTGGGTTGTTTAATAATCCACTGTGTGTAGGGCACGATATTGGAAGCGGAGCCCATCCTTCTCTATCGCCTTTTACCTCCCCAACCGAAGTCAGGTACCCATTTTACATCTGGGTCGAGTGAGGAAAGTCGTGTCGCATAAGCCTGTTGGAGAAATAAACGAGAATAGGGTTTTCGATTGAAAGCTCACCCGTGTTGGTAGAATCCATAGTTTTAGAGTTCAAACTTTGTTCCAACACAAGAAGTAAACTCACCATAAATTTACGGTCGATCTTTGTGATGTTTGTGATCCTGACGTCATCACGTTTCCGACTTCCGGACAGTCGGCGAGTGCATCACACATCTGACAAAGGTTGACGAGATCGGCCGAAAATTTATGGTGAGTTTACTTCTTGTGTTGGAACAAAGTTTGAACTCTAAAACTATGAAGATAGGGTTTGTAGAATAACGAAATTGCTCACTCCCGAACGAAGAAGTAGGCCCATCCGGCGGCCTGGCCGTTCTCCAGCTTTATAAACTTCATGTCCCGGAAAAACCACAGGAGCACCAACAGGATGAAATGGACAAGGACGACCGACTCAGCAAACCTGAAGGAATACAGTGTAAATATGGCATATGGCATCACTTATCTCAAACAAACAAACACACGCATGCACACACACACACACACACACACACACACACACACACACACAAATAAACACGCACACCATCTACAGCGGGGCATACACACACACACAAATGAACAGACACACAAACAAAAATAAGCAAGCACACAAACACAAACAAACAAACAAACACACAAACACACAAACACACATACAAACACAAACAAACACACACTTACATACACAAACAAAAACACAATGGCACATGGGTTATACCAACATGAAATACTCACGAAAAGGGTCCCAGCTCATCGTACTGCCTTCTGATGGCCTTATAGGCGGCGACGTTCTTGTGTCGTTGGCACTTTCCCCCGCACCCTCTTCGACTGGCACAACCTGGGACACAACTAGGATACAACAGAAAACACAACACATGTACACACGTCATCATTACAGATTCAAATATCCTCTTCATCTTCATGATCTGTAAAGGCATATGTAAGAAGTGCCCACCACAATAACTAGGGGGACGAAACCTAGACCACTTTTCCTGACATGAAAAGCCCCAAAAAATCAAAACCCTAACGTGTCAAATATACATATATTTTTAGGGTTTTGAAATATACAACGACAGGGAATTCTGCTAATAAGGACAGCCACTACTAGGCCGGCATGTGACCCAACACGTACCCACACACCAAATATCGTCACAGTCTATCCAGGCCTCCTTTAAAGCTGACCAAAAATATGCGGTAACATAGACAGGAACACAAACAGATGCACAGACAGACCAAGAGCAATACCTCCATTATTCATGGAGGTAATCAGGGCTCCTGTAGCACATTACCTTTGACTGACAAACTGCCACTGCAGCCACAGCCATGCCAGCAGCAGGGTGAGGACCATCGTCGGGAAGCCGAAGAAAAACCAGCTTGCGAAATCAATCCCTGGGCTCTTTGGAAACATTCTGTGAAAAAGAGATTCCAAGTTATATTGGCAACGGGCTGTCCCTGTCCCTGGTGCTGAAAACACTACTCCTGTCCCAGTACTAAAACACTATCCCTGTTCCTGTACTAAAATACTACCCCTGTTCCTGATAGCAAAACACCATCCATGTCCCTGGTGCTGAAAACACTATCCCTGTCCCCGTACTAAAACACTATCCCCGTCCCTGACAACACTATCCCTGTCCCCGTACTAAAACACTATCCCTGTCCTCGTACTAAAATACTATCCCTGTTCCCGTACTAAAATACTACCCCTGTCCCCGTACTAAAATACTACCCCTGTCCTCGTACTAAAATACTATCCCTGTTCCCGTACTAAAATACTGCCCCAGTACTAAAACACTATCCCTGTCCCCGTACTAAAAATACTACCCCTGTCCCAGGTAGCAAAACACCATCCCTGCCCCTGGTGCTGAAAACACTATCCCGACATGTCCTTACAACTGTAGAAAGCAGTATATCACCTTCACATCAAGATCGCATTATTGGTCCTACAATTATTGCAATAAGGAAATCTAAAAGAGATTTAAAAGAGATCCTTCTCGCTGTGTCATTTGGATTAGGGAAATACCACAGATTTATATTGTAATGGTTGCTCGTCATGGACATAGTCGTAATTTTGCACAAACAAACCTAAATATTCAGATAAAACTTTAATAAAAGAGAATGACTTTTGCTGCCCAATGAGAGAAACTCACGTTTGGACCGTCTGTACTACGAGAATGTTTGGCGCCGTTCCTATCAGGGTAGCAGTCCCGCCGATGTTGGCGGCGTAACAGATGCACAGTAACAGGCCTTTAGTCACTTTGTCTGCCTGTTCCGCTGACGGTCGGGCCTGTATGTATGCAGAACATGATGTGTTGTCAGTGTTGAGATTTCATTTTGCTAACGTTAGTGCGATAGTAACTTCAAGGCTATAACTTACACGCCTGAGCACCTTCGTCGCCTTATCTCGACATTGAACTGCACCGGACAACTTCCATTCATCCTATAGAGTTTCACGTTAACGAACAGATAGTGAGCTGTTGTACAGCATTTATCGAATATTAGATGTGCCCTCAACTAAAACACGGTATTTCATTTGAATGCATGTGTCTGGATACAGGGATACATGATATACAGTTCCTACTGTTGGTACAGCAGAAGAACGAATAGCGAAAGGGACAAAGAAGCACTTAAGCAGTGTATCTATAACTGTGACTTATATAACAACAACGTCTAATACTGCAGAGATTTTACAACAAGAGGCATGGTATGGCCTAATTCTATAATATTGTCTCCGGTGTGTATGAAATAAACTTTGGTCATCATACCTGATCTGCAAGCAAATCCATATCGTCGTCATCGTCATCGTCATCACTGCCAAAAAAATAGACAAAAACGGCTCTGAAGCAATCTATATTTGAAGCTCTTCTAATACAGGTAATTATATTTAGTATCAATGCCAGGCAAATGCATTGGCTGAATCTAGTTTGAAAAGGCATAATTCCACATTGGTAACTTCACCCCACCCCTCCCATAGACTAACACTGGTATCACATGTACTGGGTACCATCATACCTTCTTCCGGTACTTTTCTTAAAAACCTGGAGCCATTGGCATAATGTGCTAAAATGTTTTATCCTATTTTAAGGCCTTCTTACAAAAATGATAAACTACATGTACATTGTACTTACCACTTTTCCACTGCAATGTTTTCAAGGGGCAGCTCTTGGCTTTGTTCATTTCTTGACGTTCTTGTGGATAGCAGCACTGAAAAGTGACGTACATTGGTTAATCGTATCAAATCTGTGATACTGGTATGGCCCGTATCTGTGCACTTTAAAGATTACTACTATATGTCTAAACTGAAACTTATAAGACAATTTCAAAACATGTACAGTTCCCATACCTGGACATCTGTATATGTATCGGTATAGCCGGTATAACCACCCTTAACGCGTAACACACCAGCTTCGCAGGCACACAGTAAGGCGGCAGCTAGCTTTAATACTCCTAACGACCTGTTCCACCCAAATAGCCCGTGCAGTTTCTTATACAGTATACTAGTATACTAATGTACTAGTATATTAAGTAATGGGATTACGAGTAGACTTGCAAGATGCAAATGGAAGATATAGATTAGTTTAAACATTTAGGAATGTAACATACATACCTGTGTTTTCATCATCAGAAGTTAGTGTCTTCTTCTGTCCCTGGCCCTCTTCCCGTTCCTCGGGTCCCTTTTCCTTGAGAATCTCTGCCGAGATGGCCTGTGCGATGGGAACCATCATGGCGGTTGTTGCCATGTTGCTGATCCACATGGACAGGAACGCAGTAACAGACATCATCCCCAACATCAACCTTCAATATGTAGCATAAAATTCACCTGAGTTAATACGCTCGGACTTCATCAGCTTTTCTTTTTTTTTTTATAATTTCCAACATGTAATCACAAGACGTGGTGACGGCACACTCAAGTTTTCCAAACTTATATTAATGCCGCCACCAACACAGGAGACAATACAATACTCATTTTCAACTGAGGAAAGTCGTGTTAAGTGCCTTTCCCAAGGGCACAAGATCGGTGGCCTTTTAGGACTCGAACCCGGGACCTCTAGGTTCCGAGTCGAGCACTCTGCCGCCACGCCACACGACCCCACATCAGCTTTCTGACCGGAGCGCTGAAGACACGTGGTTATTACCCACACGTAACGACAGTACTGGGTCAAAGTTCGTATGAAGTCGGTACCGCCCCCCCCGGTTGAAAGAAGATTGGTGTGCCTGTCTCAACCGGGACGGGGTGCGGTATCGACTTCCGACGAACTTTGGCCCAGTGCTGACGCCACGCGTGGGTAAAAAAAACACGTGTCTACAGCAAAGGTATCTGCTAACACATTACGTGGATTCAGGCAAACTTAAAGTTTTTATGTCACCATCAACGCACATGACGCATTTCCGGACAACAGACATACTCATTTTCACCTGAGTCAAGTGAGGAAAGTCGTGTTAAGTGCCTTTCCCAAGGACACAAGATCGGTGGCATGGCAGGATTCGAACTCGGGGCCTCTTGGTTCCGAGCCGATATATGGGCTACAGCTGAATTCCGAACGTACCATCTTGGCTCGACCCCAACCATAAGAACAGCCTTCAGTGCTATCCTCTTGTGGAGGTTCCACCGCTCCATCGCAACAGCCACCATCAGACCCCCAATCATCAGGAAATTCATGTCCTGAAACATGTAGTGACGGACGGTTAGTCTAGCCTGGTATCCAGTCTATCGTGGTTGGGGCAGGCTGTCTTCTGGGCTCTAATAGTTTCCCCCGCTTAACTCAACAGGCCGCCCGGTAGGAGTGTTACACCTGAGTTTTAGACGACAGGAGTTGATTAACCTGACCGTGGCGAGGCTAATTGAACTCCCGTCGTTCAAAAACTACCGGGGAACATAGCTGAGTCGGGCGGGGAAGAGCTTCTGCAGCCCCGAAGAGAACCCACCCCTACCTCGGTTGACTGGACCCCAGGCTAATGGTTAGTACCGAAACTGTGAGACGGACGCTTTCCGAATGATTATAATAATTATAGACTTACATGTAGGGAGACTGCTAGTAATTATGACACAAGTCACAATATCCTGTATTTTGTTTACGTCTTTCTAAATTTGTCCGACTCGACTATAAAGCATAAAAATGAGTGAAGCGTACATTTAAGTAGTTGATGCAGACTTTCCTCGACGGTTGGACCCCCAGAATGGGAAACATAGCGATGGGGAGAAGAGCAGTCACAGCTAACGGTAGAATATCACCCGTCCAGTACACCGCCATGATGATAACAGCATAGGCACAGGCTGCAATCTGGGGGAATAAAGTACATACTACATAATGTAATATCTTTTCAAGTTAACAAGATAGCCTGTATCTTTTGTCGACCTGCAGTGTTAATGCAATTAAGGACACAATAAATAACACATGACAACATGGTGAGAGGAGGTGCTTCAAGATTTTATTGTAAAGCGCTAAAGATTTATTTATTGTGTCCGTCGTCTTTAATCAGGTAAGATAAACTGCAGTGCCGGCTCCTTGGCGCCCGTGGGGTTGCCGATGTAAATCTCCAGGACGCCCTCCTGAAGATCAAACAGCGCTGTGTGGAGAGTGTGTCCCTTGTCCTTCCCTGTACCCGACCGGTAGATCGGGTACTCGGGGTCTTTGGTGTCGCCTAGAATGGCGAGAACGTCCTGTTTGGTCCGAGGTGGGGGCATTTCGGAGGCGCGCGCCTTCCTGTGATGGGAACTGGGGCTGAGAGGCCACTCGGGGACGGAGAGATGTTCGTACAGGTTATAATGGTAGAAATGCCCGTCTGCGCCCGCGTTTGCTGGCTCTACGGTGTGTACGGACACCAAAGTGGTGGGCTGTCCCACTGCAGCGGCGGTCTCCACAGAACACATGGCCCGGGTGCTGTCCCTGGTGCTGACCATGTTGAACGAGTACCCGATGGCCATGCCGATACCGTCGCCCTTCAGCATGGACACCGCCTCCGCGACCGAGGTGGCGGACAGCATCGCTCGGCAGGCAAAGGATACACCGATTTTATTCTCCTCTGCTTCCTTGGGTAACAGCGTGTTACACGTCATACACAGACCGTGGCAGTTGAAGCCGTACGCTACCCCCGGCAGGATGCACGTGTAACAGTAGGACACGAAGTTTTCCTCGGGTAGAATCTTTCCCCCGGGTAGCCGGTACGGTTCGACATGGGCCGCCACGAAGCAGCCCTGCTCGCCGGCTTTGCCGTCCTTGTTGTGGGCCAGCACTCTCGGGCCGCCACGGTAGTTCAAGAACACCGTGGTGCAACCTTTCGATCCTTCTTCCTCGTCTTCTTTTTTCCTCTTGTTAAGAAGCAGGATCTCGTACTCATAGTTGACGATGAACAGACGATCGAACGACACCTGTGCTCCCTCTGCCATCCCCTCCATCTCTTCTACATAGTTAGGGTACGCAGTCTTCGCCGCCTTCAAGTAACCTGCGTACACTCTTCGCCCTTCACTGGTGTCTAAGGAGGAGATGACCTCCTTGAACGGCTCGTAGCAGCTCAAGGCGTCTTGGATCTGTTTCTTCGTCGCTCTGCCGACCTGGAAACCGACTTGGCGGTTTGTTCCAGACACGTGTAACAGGCGAGGCGCCATTTTGTTGTGAAAGAAAAACTCGCCAGACAAGTATATTTACAGGTCAGCTGAGGTGACATATGGGTCATGGACAGGTGAACCTGTGTTCCACTTTTGCACTTCTCCATAAGCAAAATGGTGAATATTTTTAACTCGAACATACAACAAAACGTTTACTACTCTGAGAAGCTTTCGAGACGCACTCTGTCTCTTCATGAACCCGGTAAAGATCTCGTCTTGGTGTTCTCTTGTCACGTTTACGTTCGTATAAACTATAAACCAATTTTCAAATGTCTCTTGGCACCATTTCAGTAGGCTACAACAGTGTCTTTAGACAACACGTATATCAATGGACAACTTCTCATGGATAAAGAAGTTTATATCATAGCTGGGTGTTACGGTCGGTGTGATAACTAGCCTATAAGATATAATGACACCAAATAAAGCACAAGCTTAGATAATGACACAAAATCTACGAAAGCACTAAATATCCCATGGAGGTATGATATCTTTGAACTCTTGTTTGTTCTACATTTTCTCTGTGACAACAAACTCAACGAAAAGTGGTTCAAGACTGACCTTTGAACTCGAGTATAAACATTGTATCAATGTGCATGTATATCCCGTACACCACAAATAAAACATCACAAAATTTCCAATCAAAACATATCACTGGGTTTGAGAGAAAGCTTGCCATAATCATGAACAGCAAATAGCAGATGTCACAGAATACTTTAACTGCAGTGTCAACGTTTATTATTATATCGATCAAGGGTTTACGATTATCTTCGTCTTTTTGACGTACTTTTGTTATATCTCAAAAAAACACACATTGATGAAAAGTTGTACGACGTAAATGTATAGACAACAAGAAATAACTTGTGAACAATTTGTGTTTCAATTGGTAAACAGAACAAGTGTTCGGCTGGAAAAAATGACAACCAAACGAAGAAATGAACGTAGTACAACTATCATGTATGTAGCACTAGCAGTAACACATTCACACAAACAAGAATATATATTACATTACCTTGCTATTTTCTGTATTAGCATAATAGAACGGCAGCGGGCACAGGATCACAGGTGTTATGAGGAACACGATGGACTTCCAAAAAGACAGCACGTTCTCAGTCAGTCTTAGTTTCCCAGTCGCCATGTTGTCACGCTTTTGACAACTATCCAGTTTGACACCTTGGCGTAGAATTATGTAGAACACTTTTAGGCAGCGTACTGTATCATTGGGTCAGACCTTTACAGACAACACACAGAGAACACACAATAGAATGCTGTCGACTGCTATCCAGTACCATCCTTCAACATATACCACACAAAACCGGTTTTACAACTACGTTGATTGATGTGTTGTATTCAGGCCCCTGGTGTTTTGATGCCAGAGGCACCTAGCTTGACTAAATTCCTAGTAGCGCTCCTAGCGGCTCGGCAGCCGACTACATAACATGCCCTGGAGGCCCATCAGTGGTGAGGACTTGTCTAACACAGGGCGAAAAATTGGAGAGAATGGTACATGACAGACACACACACACAAACAGAATCTCTCTCTCTCTCTCTCTCTCTCTCTCTCTCTCACACACACACACACACACACACACACACACACACACGCACACACACACACACACACCACAACAGGCCATGCCAACTACTGATTTCCGGTTCAACATTTTTATTTTCCATTTCAACTTTTGAAGAGGTAGAAGATGACGGTTATGTCATTCATGGCCTATCTTTTATTTCGCCTTGTTCTCTGGAGAAGTATGGTGCGTATACAGACAACGGCACTGTCTGTATACGTAATGTCAAATTTTGCTAAGATACTCTTTCCACTGCGTTCGTAGTGTTTTAACAACATTTTGAATAACTTTACTATGAATGTTATATTCGATTTCGATTGAATCTTTGCCTGTTGCGGCTACATGAAAAGGGAGGCACTCATATATTAGGCTGTGCAGGACTGTCACAATCCATTACATACTCATAGGACATGCCCCACTTAAAACTCGATAAACCGGTTCTTCATGTACCAGTCCTGTGCGCAACTTACCTAGTCTCTGTGTGAAGACAACAAGTACTGTGACTTGCATATGGAACACATACTGTGCTACAATACCACAGCTTAGATCAGTAGTATGGCATCCACGTAAGTGTTTTGGAACCTTGTACTACCGAAGGACGGTCGTAAACGAACTACTTGTTGCAACATGGCGAAGCGGACATCTATCTGCAATGTACTGTTGAGACACTGGAAAGCCATCATACTTCTTGTGACACCTGTGATCTTCAGTCCACTGCCTATCCACTTTTCTTCAACAGAAAACAGCAAGGTATTTGTGCTGGTGTTTTGTATCTATTGTGTATCACGTACATGTATGCATGTGTTTACTAGTTATAAGGAGTACGAGTTCATACTATTAGTATTCGTATCTTCGGGTTTGTCTGTTGTTTGACCCTAGTTTGCCCTCCCCTAATGACAGATACAGAAAACCAGCTTCAAGACGATCTGAGTTATTCAGGAAAAAATGCAAGCAATGTCTGTGAGGCGTAATATATGCATGTATGTTCATGTTCTGGACACACCCAAATACTGTACATTCTACTGGAACACAAACGAATCATCTTCAGTTAACCTTATCCATGAGCTCGCAATTTGACCACACTTTTTATCATGGAAATCATACAAAAAGGGCAAGTTGAGAATCGTCCATGTTTTATGAAGGCCTTAAAGCATTACTTGTTGTTCCTCGTGCCAACCAAGTGAGACTGCAATGTAGCTGATACAAAATATATCAGTATATGTGTACATTGTAGCTAGATTGAGCAGATTTGTCAGTGATTTATCAGCCATTATCAGTTCAGTTTTTAGCACCCATTTAGAGAATTATCACATTAACCTGCTTTACAGGCTTTTACTATAGTTTTAGGTATTGTATGCTGAGATGAGCTAACTACACACATCGCACTATGCATTCAGTACCAGCATACCTGCTCGAAAAACATTTTCACTAATTTATGCTTCATATGATTCCACTGTATCAGATCGCTGCCTGTGGGTATGCTGTGATCATCATGGCGGTGTACTGGGCCTCTGAAGCTCTGCCGCTCCCCGTGACGGGCCTTCTTCCCATCTTCCTCTTCCCCATGCTGGGGATCCAGTCAGCGAGGGACGTCTCCGTCAACTACGCAAAGGTAGACCTCCAAATGTGTTCGAATATTTGTACAAATGTATACCTCAACTGGGATTTTAATAATGACGATAATGGGATACTTAAACAGATTTAAATACTGTAGTCTGAATACTAGGGTATCGAGACGACTCGGACCATACTAGTTCCTCCCATGGCATTTATGTATTACATGTCATGTAGATTACTTATAGGATAGATTTGATGGTACAAATTTGTTCCACGTGCTCTAGAGGTTCATATGTAGTTACAACACTTCATAGTATTGTGGAGTTTCAGAAATGAGTCTATCTGACCTGACATATCGTTTCAATATGATGTAATTTCAATGAATGGGTACATTACAGTAAGTTAAATGAATGTCAACTTCTGTACTTGCGCCAGGGGTTCTGAACGCTGGTATATTCGTTCGCAAAACATGTAAAACCATGGAATATAGTCAATGAGGACCCAGCTTCGGTTAGGGACGTCCCTCGGATAGGACGTTAAATGGAGGTCCCGTGTTTGGGAGAGCCACACCCCACGCACGTTAAAGAACCCACCACACTTATCGAAAAGAGTAGGGGACCTTCCAGGTGTGAGTGGTTCAAACATTATAGTCTGGTCTCAGGTTTGATATCTTGAAGAGGTGATAGTCACCTGTTATGTCAATCCTTCCACAAATGTGGCAAATCTTCATAAATAAAGAAATCTCTTGGTATCATATTTACATGTACAAATGTACTTGAATTTTGCGTGAAATAACCATACTTGATTACATTTTTACCTTTGAATTCTGTCCAGGATGCCATCTTTCTCCTGATCGGTAGTGTGATGTTTGCGATAGCCATAGAACGGTGGAACCTTCACAAGAGGATAGCGCTGAGGGTGCTGCTGACTGTGGGGGTTGAGCCAAAACGGTACGCTACGCTTCTGTTTCTCTTCTTTCTTTTGTCTTCACACATGTATGTTAGTTATTCATGGAAGTTTACGAAAAGTGAGACTCTCCCAAAGCAGAAGTTTAGACTCCGGCTTATTATGTTTATCGAAGGAAAACATCTTGTTTTTGCTCAGTTTCCTCTTCTTCCTCTTCTTCCTCTTCTTCGCCCAAACCGAAAAGGTCAATTACCTGGAACCAGACGGCTGGTGCCATGGTGACTAGTGTTGGGTTACATCATGTTGCTTTTTTATAGCAGGAGGGATTTAGACTCCTGCCTAACCATATATATGAATGTGTTTGAGTAAGAATGAACAGAGCAGACCATATGTGAAGGTAAACATTATGCATCTGCTTTGGAAATGTTACCTTTTTTTGTTTTTGACGTGTTTTAGCGTTTTATCGGGTTTTGTTTTTTGTGTACTTGTATCTTTTTTTTACGCGAATGGTAACAAATGGATACTGCCTGGCCAATTTGATGCTGTCTTGCAGCAACCGAAATAGTAGAGTTATGGATTTACCAATGGTGATAAATGGATGATTGAGTCTGGTTGGAGTTGCCTTAGGCAATAAGCATTGACAGTACAGGGCTATAGGGACATCTAGTCTTGTTGTTCACATACCGCTGTTATCACTAGTGTCTTATGAAACACGTCATCAAATAGGTCAGGGACATAATCACGTTAGCTTAGGAGCTAGATCCGCAGTGCTTACTTCACAAAAGCGATATATTCCAAGTAAGCCTTCTTTGTACATCCGGTGATGTCTACCATTCCAATATAGACAAGCCAGGCAACAGGATAATCTGATTATGGGAAAAGGTAGAGGGTGAACTTCTGGTTATTTTTTCCAAATCATCAACCAGAGTTACGACTCATTTATCCCTTCATCCTAATTTTCGTACAGTCTAATTTCCTAGCCATACAAGGACTTGTCCGTATTTTCTGTACCCTTTAATGAAACGTTGATTTTATGTTTTCTAGGCTGATGTTGGGGATGATGTCAGCGACAGCGTTTTTGTCCATGTGGATCAACAACACGGCAACAACTGCCATGATGGTTCCCACTGTAGAGAACATCACTGGTGGGATTCCCACCGACGACGAGTCAGATCCTCGGGAGAAACATACCCTAATGCAGAAGACAGATGAGAAAACAGGTTTGACGATTCTTTAAATTTCCTGGCAACATACTTCGCCTTATTTTTTCTTATTCACATGGATTTATGAGCATTGGAATAGCAAGCACGTAATGTGCTTATAAGATCCTTTGCTCAAGAACATATATAATGCAAAATACAGGTTGAAGGTACAAAATACAAAAGGTATAACGAACATATAAATTGGCGCACCGATAGACATAAAATGAATTGATTACTGCTAGCCTGGTGTCCAGTCTATCGTGGTTCGGGTGGCCTCTCTTCGGGTCTACATGAGCTCTTCGCCGCCCGACTCACCTAGGTTCCCCGGTAGCTATATTCTTTGCACGCCAATTGGCCCTTATTGTGGTGCGGTTCATCAACTGCTGGTGTAAAAATACACTATTAGCAAAGCTCCTACAGCGTAAAACTCTCACCAGGCGGCCAGTTAAACTGGGCGGGGGGAAACTGCTAGAGCCCCGAAGACAGCCTGCCCCAACCACGATAGACTGGGCACCAGGCCAGGTTATTGTGTTATGTTAGCATGGTTTTAATCAAGACATCCAAATATTTTTTTGTTTGTGAAAATAACCTATACGAGTACCAAGTTGCTAGAAAAACCACAGTTTTTGCAAATTACTTATGTAATATCTACATATACTCTGCCTATGTGCTCTAATCAAGGACTTGACACTGAACAAACTAGAATCTACATATATAATATACATATATTGTATTAGCTCAGTTCATGAAGTTTTCATTTGGTCCTATAGGTCTGCTGTCGGCAGGGGCGTCTGGAAGAGGGGCTTACAGGAAACCTGAGGACTTAGTGAGAATAGTTGAATAGTAAGTTGTTTCACCATGAATGCTGTTAGCTTTGGCAGAATATTGTAACGTTAGAGAAGAAGACCTCCTGAAAATGGTACAATTATTCGTACAATTATGTAGCAAAAGATCAGACGCTGGAAAGTTAACGTGTGTTCGAACGCGCCACTGCTATTTCGATATTTCATCAAAATGATATCACAAAATTTGCTTTAGTCATATTTAATTTGTTTTGTACATCCTCCTTTTTGCAGTGATGACGCTGAGGACAAGACACAAGATGAGGTACCATGAAATGTTTTTTTTTCTCGCAGCTCTATACATTCATGTATACACTGAACAAAAAAGATAAGAATACACATGATGATGTCTCCTTTTAATATTTGCTTGATCTTTTAACAAATCTGAATTCAAACAAAGGACAATATTATGAACTATGACATACATTGAAAATGGCGCAATTTATTGTTTTGTTACTGAAATCAATATTTGTATTCGGCTGATAACGTCAATATCTTTATCTAAACTAATTTTTTCTCTCCTTCTTCCTCCTTTCTTCTACACCAACTCTTCCCTTCCACGCCATAGCCGTTATTTTTAAATGAAGAATCAGATGGTAGATCAAGAGAACAGGCAGACAGGATGGCTAAGGGACTGTTACTGTGTATCTGCTACGCCGCCAACATCGGAGGCATCGCTACTCTGACCGGGAGCAGCACCAACATCCTGGCTGTTGAAGTTATTGAAGCGTGAGTCACATTTTTCGAATTATACATTCTCTTTTGTGCCAAAGGGAAAACCCGTAGCTCCAAGCAGATCCTAGGTTGGCAAAAGACAGTATCAAATTGGCCAGGCAGTATCCCAGGACAGAGAGGTTCCAATTCGCCACCCAAGGTTTCTGACACACACGACAAGTTTTTGAAAAGATTGCCCCTCCCCGTGCCGGTTAATAACCTTGTCCAGTGCGACTTTCTATAGATCCTTTGGTAGCGTATTGGACCCTCTCTAGCCAATGGATACTGCCTGGTCAATTTGATACTGTCTTTTGTCACCCTAGGACCTACTTCTTGGAGATTACCAAAGAGCTCCTGTGTTTGTCTGTTTTGTTTTTGTACTCTGACCTGTGGGTTTGTGTACCTGTTTGTCTGGACAGAGTAGGTTGGCAGCATGCGGGTGGGGAAGGTTGACAGGCAGAAATGTAAAATGATGTGACTACGGATAAAAAACATTTGAAAAGGAGAAATGCGAAGTGTGACGGTGACGATGAACAGACGCCTAGGACGCTAAACGCTGTCGTTCTGCCATTATATTTTTGTATAATTATCTGTCCTCGACCTATTTGCTCAGTCAGTTGAATTGTGCAATTTGAAATGTGGCTCTCTGTCTGGGACAATTAAGTTCCCTTTCTGCCAATCAAAAATCATTCCGCTCCAGTTTTTAGATGATTGTTTTGATTGTACAAACGATTTAATATTTTTGACAAATTGCAAACAACGCCTTTTCACTTGTTTTATTGTGGTTACAATATTTTACATTTTTCCCATCAAATTCACATAAATGTCACATTTATATATCCATAAATGTAAAGCAGTACTGTCGTAAACATAACACTAAAGAAACAAGAAATTGTTACTCATTTTAGCAAATGGATAGCTTTTGAAAACTGGCATGGTAGACGCTTCAAGTAGCATACACTCAACTATAGTCACTGGCGAAAAGTAATGAATGCTGCTCGAAACGCCTGTCAGTTATCAAAACCTAACCAGTTGCTTGAGCAACATTTTTTTGTGTATGTGGATGCGAAATATTCCGACTTCCGATTGATGTTGTGCCAATGTACATTCCAGACTTTACCCCGAGAGCAAAGGCATCGATTTTGCCACCTGGTTTTTCTTCGGCTTCCCGACGATGCTTCTGATCCTCATCGTGGCCTATATCTACCTACTGTGGCTGTTTCTGGACTGCAGGTAAGGAAAATAGATTAATTCAGAAATTCCTTTATATGTACGTTGCGAACACGCCAGGGTCCACATGCCAACGTCATACAAGTATTTTGCTATATGAATACATATGTTTCTTTGTAAACTAGGTGGTAATGTAGCACTTGTTCCTCCTACCATTGTATCTTAGTTGTCTAACGTAGTGCATTTGGCCCATGTAGGACATTGTCATTGTTGTTTCTCTAGTTGCCTGTTGGGCTGCAGAAAGCGATGCAGAGAACACTGGATGAGAAACCAGAGCAGCGCCGCCTATCTGGTCGTCAAGAAACAGTACAACGAGCTGGGGCCCGTGTCGTGAGTATCTAATGATATCATTTCATTCAAACTCTACGAATATTAATCATAAGCAACGTTCCCTCGATTTGATGATATAATTTCCTCTCAGAATGCAGACGCTTTTCTGTATTCTCCAGAAATTTCAAGTTGTGCCTATTTTGTATAGCAGCAACATACCACTTCATACATGTCATATGCAGACCATCAAAGAATATCGTACTTAGTCCTTTGATTGAACCAAGTTCAACACCCACGTCATAGCTTTATAGTCTTATCATGATATTCATACTTAATACTTTGGGTCACAAATTTGATATACAGATTGATTATTCCGCCTTACAACGTTGATTTCATTTCATTGAACTACTTCGCGGCTCCTGACTATATATAACTGATGTCATTCTGGTAGGTTCAACTGAAAAGTGCTCATGTTTTGCACTTCAACATGTTGGTGCTCCTGTGGTTTTTCCTAGTTGTTACAGTTTTCCCATCTATCGATTGCAGTGGTTTGATTAAAAGTTCAAAATTCAATGTTTAAATTTTAACCCAGCCTTTTGTGTTGACTTCATGGCTCATTTTGTAGCCTATAATAGGATGCCTAGACCTGTTTTTATTTTTATTTTTTTCGCCCTGTCGCTTCATATTTTTTCTGAAAAAATCCGAGAACCAACAAATTAAATTGGTGTGGCCTTACAACGTTGATTTCATTTCATTGAACTACTTCGCGGCTCCTGACTATATATAACTGATGTCATTTTTGTAGGTTCGCTGAGAAAGTTGTACTGTTTCACTTCGTCCTGTTGGTGCTCCTGTGGTTTTTCCGGGACATGAAGTTTCTACATCTAGAGAACGGACAGGCAGCCGGCTGGACCTACTACTTCTTACGGGGGTGAGTGGGTCTTGTAGTTTCTTCTTTTTACCCCATTTAAAATGGAAGTATTGTTTTTAGTATGCCTGTGTGTGTGTGTGTCCGTGTGTGCGTCTGTGTTTCTACATGGCCCTTACGCCAGGTTGTAATGGATATGGTTGGTTCAGTTTACTAGTATTCCAGAGGGAGAAAGGCATTAATCACTTCATCTAGATGCGCTCGATGTTTTCACATGTTTTCGTTACATTACTGCATGGAAATAAAGTGGTATGGGATCTCTGAATTCTTGTTTACCCCTTGGTTTTGCACAACGATCAACATGACAAAATGATGCTGATAGATATCACATGAATTGTTTATCACATGAATTGTTTTATCTGCAAATTACAACAGCATCGAATGAAAGTTATTTCTCTGAGTCAATACCATTGAATTATTTTGCTTCCACAGCTATGTAACAGACGCATCCACCGTTATGATGATCATCATTTCCCTATTCTTCTGGCCATCGAGGCCTCCAAACTTTATGTGTTGCAGAAATAGAGAAGGTTTGTGCATATGTTCTAACAAGAAATCTTTTAAAATATTTTCAACCGCTTTTATGTTAAATGCTTTTATTTTAAAAGTCCAAGATCAATAAACATCTGTTCTCACTGTCTGTACATTTGAGTGGCTCCCATGAGCCTTGTTTTGTGGTGAACATGAAGTAAATAAAAAAAATTGCAATCCGTCCCGCAGATATAGAATAAGCGCGCACGACCTAAAATAGCAAATTTAAAAAGAAGTCGTTGAGGACAATGTTCAATACATCTTTCGATCTCTTCATGCTTTCACTCTCTTTTGGCAGATACAGAAGCCTCCGAGCCAGCTCCGTCTATTTTAGACTGGGAAACAGTCCACCAGAAGATGCCGTGGGGACTTGTTTTTCTCATAGGGGGAGGTTATGCCCTTGCAGATGGAATCGAGGTAACAGAATGATCTAAAATTTGTACCAATATTCTAAAACGGCCACATCATCCAGGTACTAGGTGACGTCTTTGAAAATACGCGTGTTTAGGTCAAATGTTCTAGCCTGAGTGTCAGGCTTTTTAGCTTTCGTCCGATCCCCAAGATACGCTGGTCGGTAGAGAATAGTGGGGAGTGGACGAAAGCTGAAGAAGGCTGACACTCAGGCTACAAATGTTCTACTTGTGAACTCATGTTCTAAGAGAAAGATACCCCATCGTTTCTGTCTCTCGTGAACGTATTTTCTCGTCCATCATACGTTTGAAACTATTTTGTACCCACACAGGTCTCAGGACTGTCCGTTTTGCTGAGCCGACTGTTCAAGTCAGCCTCTGGGTTCCTCCCCGTGACGCTGGTCCTCATCGTCACGACTCTTGTGGCCTTCGTGACGGAGTTAATCAGCAACGCGCCGGTCGCTGCCATCGCCCTCCCCATCCTCGCAAACCTGGTGAGACAGTACAGATGATATAGTTTGGGATATTGGGATACTAGCTGAAACGTCTGACGTCCAAAATCATAACCAGTTGCTTGAGTAACTGCTTTTTGGCGTAGTACAGTTGTTACGTTTACCGAAGGAAAACACATTGTTTTTGCTTAGTTTCCTCTTCTTCTCCAAACCAAAAAGGTCATTGACCTCAAACCAGACGACTGCCGTGCCGTGGTGACTAGTGTTGGGTTACATCATGTTGCAATTTTATAGTAGGAGGGAATTAGACTCCTGTCTGACCATATATATGAATGCGTTTGATTTTCTTTACTTGCTATATTCTCCCATACGATACAATGAGTTAAAAATGATATATTGTAGAAATAGTTAATATACCTTATCTATTGTGCTTTTCCCCCAGGCGGAGGGCATCTGTATCCACCCCTTTCACCTGTTGGTTCCGGCCACCATTGCCAGCGCCTTTGCCTTCATGTTACCAGTAGCGAGTCCACCGAATGCCATCGTCCTTCAAAGCGACAAGATCCAACTATATGATATGGTATGTAAGACGGGCAGTCGTGTGTTTTTCCTTTATTTTTCACGTTTATTTATTTACTTATTTATTTATTTAGCATGGGGTTTTCGCCCTATCGCATTAGATTTGGAGTCTGCGGCCCATAACCCAACTACACTTTGGCATCAATTGCAAGTGAGATTCAAAACGTTTGTTATGTTTGTTACAGGTGAAGAGCGGCTTCTTGTTAAACATTATCGGCATCCTGGTGTTGAATATCGCCATCGGCACGTACGGGTTCCCGCTGTACGGTCTGGACACCCTCCCTCCCTGGGCTAAGGCACACCGATTCTGTAACAACACTCTCACAACGGTAGCGACTTCAACATCGGCGCTTCTCAATTCCACACTAGTTCCAGATGTATGACAAACGTTTAGAAGTAAATTGTAATGTAGTTTTTTTGTTGTAAATATTTTGTAATTTTCTTGTAAGGGATTATGTCAACTCTTCTCAATTCCACCCTCGATTCCAGTTGTATGACAAACGTTTAGAAGTAAATTGTAATGTAGCTTTTTCGTTGTAAATAATTTGTAATTTTCTTGTAAGGGATTATATGAATGTCAACTCTTCTCAATTCCACCCTGGATTCCAGTTGTATGACAAACTTTTAGATGTAAATTTTTTAATGTAGTTTTTTTGTAAATAATTTGAAATTTCTTGTCAGGGATTATACGTCACAGCATTGAACTTTCATTGTAATATAATAATCCATTATTCTTGACTCAACGTTGGATACAAAAATTATAAAATTTTACTGAAACAACTAGAATAACAACATGACTCAAAACAATGCATTTGTTTGTCTTTATATATTTTGTTACACAGACCCGTACATACTTAATACATGATATTGCCGTATAGAGTAGAAACTCATTATGTGTTGTTGCATAGGATAATATAAGAAACAAATTAGTTATCAAAGCGATGATGGTATTAGACAAACACAACAAATGAAAACTTGACAAAATCCGAGTTTTAAAACACAGTCACATAATTATTTCACTCAAAACATTATGGAAAAACAGTGTTATGTCAATTACCCTGTAGCTCTCCATCAGAAAAATATATTCACCAATGTTACATTAAAATATACCTAACAATGTTTAACGCTTTCTGTTAGACAAAATCCACCAACATGATTACATTTTCCCTTATAAAAATAATCTGTAATGACTGGCTCGTACACATTCATTACGTCTGTCCTTAGCAAAAATAATCTCCAATTTAACATTATAAAAAGTATGTTAAATTTTTAATCCTTACTTGTTACCCCTCACCATTATAATTGTCTTCAAAACATGATTGTCAACATGCTTCTCATTGCAAAAATGAATTCTGACATTATTATATAAAATATGTCACATTTCTAGATTCTTGATTTTGAAAGACATGATAATAACTGAGCTGTATATCAATCATATACAAGTAGCTGTTGCAACAAGATTTCATGAGCTTAGTGAAGTTTGAATCCAACACTTGCTGTTAAACTGACATTCTTCATGTAATTGTTAAATACATGTTCCTTATGACTTGAGCATAATTGTTTAGATTGCATCCTTATTTTCAATCACACATTTGAGATCCAACACTGCCAAGCATTGCCCCAAAAAACAGCCAAACACATTTAAAGCTAAATATGCTATAAGAAATCTTAAAACTTTAAAATGTTACATCTACTTTTGTAAAAAGATCCTCAGTGGACAGTATCTACATGGCTACAGAACACAATGGGTCACACTTTAAGGAAGCACGTAATTGTGTAACATTGTATTGATAGCAGAAAGTATAGCACGATCCAGCACTTAATAATAAAACAAAGAAACCAAACACTGAGGTAAATCAACTATAAAATCCTACACCCGCTTCACACAAATTGTCTTACCTTTTAAAATCATCATTGTGTACAGAGCAGTATAAAAACATTTTTTTAGAAAAAATGTCTCCAATTGATTGGCTGCTTCACACCAAGTATTAGCAATGTACAGCCTGACTGAATTGCTTTTTTGGCAACTCTCCCGAGGTCATACAGTGTTCTAGCCAGTATCCATCTTTGCTGCCCAACCTACATGTATCATCTTTGACAATGGAAAGAGGTACCATTTAACTCAGCTTATTCTACGAACAAAAGTTGCCCCTCAAAATGCAGGAAATAGTTTTTCAGAGGGTCAAGAATTCAAAAGTTCCTGGGGGAGGATGCCCCCGGACCCCCTATAGGATTGTGGGCACTTTTGGTGCTCAATATGATGTTACATCAGACAAAATTGAGATAATAAAAAAAATTTCAGGCCGGCTAGAACATTGAGTCAGGATCCTAGAGCTCCATAGAGCTGTGTACAGTAGGTGTTTGTGTTACACAGACTCACTGGAGTAAGGTTCTTCCTTTTGCAGACATTGGAGTGCCTGAGCACGTCGGCAGAACGTACTGCGTCTGCGCAAAACCCGTAATGTATTGTGCATAGCACTTCAGTAGTACATCTCATATAAGGTCGTATTTGCGTATATAATTATAAGGTTAACATCCCGTCTGTAGTTTCCAAATGTTGTGTCGGAAAAGATATCATCTGCAACAGGCAAAATTTTGATGCAACATTGATAAAACATCCAACAAAAACCGTGAAAAATCAGGGTTTTGCGCAGGTGCCATACATTCTGCCGTTGTGCTGAGCGCCTGTCTGGATCATCTCTATCCCAGAGTAAGATTGGCAGGGAGTACAGTACTAGTGATGTTAGCGGGAAGTTGGGTTGCAGAGCTGGCTGCACAGGTGGCCCAGGACGGGAAGGTGCCCAGGCCATACAGGGGGATCCCGTATGTGTTGATGGCAAACGTCAGCACCAGGATACAGCCCAGGTTTAACATGAAACCACACTTCACCTGCAGGGGAAACGATGAAATAGTCAATAGAACAGCATTAGACATGTTAGAAATTTAGTGGCATCTTATGACCAAGTGGCTAGGCTAGCAGTCATGAGATTTAGAGGTCACAGGTTCTATCTCTTGTATTCCTGGCTAGATGTTGCATCCTTAGGAAATGCACTTTACACAAATTTGTGCTCAGCTTTGGTCCAGCTACAGAGCAGGAAACATTCATAGGCTACGAGTTGCTTATCACGATGGTCTTAAAATCCTACTGTCTCAGCCTAGGAGTACTAGTAACAGCGACCTATTTGTACAGACTCGTGTCGACACGTTTGACGCCAGGCGTCGGAAGTTGTTGTGCTCTTTTGCTTCGCGTCTCTTTGCGTCTGAGAACGCAATTGTCAAACTGCTGCTCCGCTCGGAGGCCTTCTGCTCTAGCCCATTCTGGAGACACTACTGTAGACTAGTCCGCCCACTGTAAGGGCTCGACAGTTTTTTATCTACTTATACCCACTTAGATGTTTTATTTTAGATGTGTTTGTGTAATGTTGTCTGTCTGTGCTATGGGCCATTGAGCCTGAAATAAACAATAAATAAATAAAAATTTCCTCACTCCACCCAGGAGTAAAATGGGTACCCAAAAAGGCTATGAGACTTCCTTTACTTTTTCCTTAAGAAATTAAAATAAAAGAGAACACTTTAACCATTGTCCTTTTTTCAAACTCTTCTTGAAAGTCATTGTTATCTTACAAGTATGTTTGTGATTTCACTTACCATGTCGAGCACTTTGATGCGTCCGTATGAGAAAACAATAGCGTTGGGCGGGGTTGCCACCGGCAACATGAAGGCAAAAGAGCAGGCGATGGTGGCTGGTATCATCAGGTAATAGGGGTGGACACAGATCCCCTCAGCCTAGGGAAAGGAACAACAGTTGTACAATGAAGTATTGTAACTCCTGGTATCAAGCATATTGAATTTTTTAAATAACGAACAGTTATTATTCGTTATTAAAAGAAATTTTCTGAATGGAGCCTTGAAAAGCAACAACAAATAAAAAAAGGATAAACAAAAGGTCACTTAACTTCAGGTTTAGAATATATTTCACAAAGAGTTAGTTTTGTGATTGAGATTAGTGGCTTACAACTGTTTACTTTAACAAAAACCAGTAAATGTACATTTTAATTGTAGCATGGAAAGGGAGAGAGAATTAGGTTTTCTATTGGCATTATAGACTATCTGAAGCAGTTACTCTTCCAGTTACAGACATTTCTACAGACTCTTTTGAGCCACAAAGAAGAAGAAGAGTAAAACTCTGTACTTCCACTTCAAGAAAATGACAGACGTTCACCCACCATTTTACCTATGATGGGGAGAAAGATGGAGGCAGTGGAAACGTTACTGGTGAACTCGGTTATGAAGGCCACTATGACGGAGATGAGCAGTGCAATGACAGCAGGGGGGACTCCAGCTAGACTAGTAAAGGCATCACTCAGCCAGATAGACAGGCCTGATACCTGGAGAGATGCAGAGGCATGCATCACAGTCCTAACAGTCACTACAGAGGTACAGTAAGTCAAACATGCTGGAAATCTATCTTGGAAGTTCATCTGTGTTAGTAGATGTCATTATGAAACAAGATGCCAACACAAAAAATGGACTTGTACAGTCACCCAAATTTTCAACTGTACAACTCCAGTCTTTGTCAAGGAATGAGCAATCCACCGCTTCCATGATGTCAAGAAGATAACACACATGACTCTGTGAGCAGTGGATCATAGGTGAGCTACCACCTATTGCAGGATGACAAAAAAATTACATATCGTTGGGTGTTGTGCAGTGAGAAGATGGTCAGACAACACAGGAAAAAAAACAACTGTTACTGCAGTTCTCTTTTTCCTCCTCTCTCACCAGTTTTCCCAGGATGGGTAGGAAGATGGCAGCAGTAGAGGTGTTGCTGGTGAACTCTGTTATGAAGGCCACGATGATGGAAATGATGAGTGCTAAGGCGACAACGGGAAACCCCGCAAACGTTCGGAAGCCCTGTCCCATCCAATCAGAGAGACCTGAAGCCTGTGTCCCATTTAGATATGTTAGATAAACACTCATGTACAGAACAGTGTTTCCCGTTTCATTCTCGAAATTTTTCTGCATCATTATTGATGTAGTTCTCTAAAACAACTACAAGGAATAGTGAAAATCAACATTACTGACATCACCTAATAATGCTAAATCGTAAATGAACAAAAATTGTACTGTACAAATGTACATTGTAAAACATTCGAGCGGTTTTATTCTCCCAGTTATGGCAGCAACCTATCCACCGAGAATTCATGACACTACAAAATTTTAATATGCCTCCCTTATAGGACTACTGTGCTACAGGATTTTTCAACCCTGAATTTACATGTAAAACACATAAAAACAATCTTTACTTCTTACTGCAAAATATTAAAACCACATTTCACAATTCACAGTGTTCAAACCCCACTATGCAGTAGCGGCCTTGCGAGAAAACTGAATGTCAGGTACCTTATCAGGAAAAATGTTTACTGGCATACAGGCTACATGTATGATAATACATGAGTAACTTGCAAAGTCATATAGTAGGCTACCTTGGCAGTACATGTACCTTGTAATGCTTTCATACCACTGAAATTTTGTGTATTGAAAGTACACATGCAATCAACTATTCTTACACAAGGAGAATATATTCTGTCCCACCTTGACTCCATCTGCAAGTGCGAACCCTCCTCCAAGGAGGATGACGACACTCCAAGGCATCTTCTGGTGTACTGTGGCCCAGTCTAGGATGGGTGGGGCCGGCTTGGCTGGGCGTGTATCTACAGAGACAAAAGAGTGTAAAGCTTGGCATGTGTAAGGTAAAAAAAATTAAGGATGGTGTAGTCTTGAAAATGGTAGGCATTACATTACTCTTTTTCTAATTCTGGATGACTGTGAATACTCTACAATGTTTTAATTGCATTAGGCACAATGTATATGTCACAGGGGAGATTGGAATCCAGGGGAACCCAGAATTCTCCTAGGGGAGATAGGAATTCCAATCTCCCCTAGGATAATTCCAGATTCCCCTAGATTCCAATCTCCCCTGTGACATGTACATGTTAAAATGTATTCAACCTTAAGCCCACAAAGTAGAAGTAGCCATTTGGCTACCGATGGTCTATTGGTTATGGGGTTTGGCAGCAGGGAGAAGGTTTAATAAATGCCTCCGCCCCTGAGGCATTGCCAAAATATGTACCTGTCCTCCTTCTGCAGCACATGAAGTTGGGAGGTTGGGATGGCCAGAAGAACAGCACAATGGCAACCATGATACCTGTGGCTGCATCTGTCATGTAGCTACAAAAACGGGAGAACAAAATCATTATCTGTATCTGTATGGTCAGTGTAACTGCCCTTCGGTGTAACAAAACAGGTTCTGTATCTGTATCTGTATAGCCAGTATAACTGCCCTTTGGCGTAACACAACAGCTTCTGTATCTGTCTCTGTATAATCAGTACAACCATCCTTTACTCTTTATCAGAACGCACTAGCTTTTGTATCTCACTATCTGTATCATTCTGTATAGCTGGTATAACTGCCCTTCGGCGTAACACACCAGCTTCTGTATCTGTTTAACAAGTATAACTGTCCTTTAACGTAACACAACAGCTTCTGTATCTGTATAAATTATACCAACCCCTTCTGAAAGAAGTAGGTCCACCCAGCAGCCCGCTTATTCTGCAGTTTCACAAACTTCATGTCCCGGAAAAACCACAGGAGCACCAACAGGACGAAGTGGAACAGTACAACTTTCTCTGCAAACCTACAGAAACCATAACATATAGAACATTGCTATAGAATTGTGGTAACAAGTAAGGGTACTCTATTTTCTTACTCTTTGCACAGGTCCATCTTGAAATTATGCTCTCAGTTTCCTTGTGATCACACTAAAGTTACCATTGGTCAACTCTCCAACTGTAACTGCACATAGACATTCTATCACAGTATGATGTACCAAGTTACTTTCTTCAATTATAATTATAGTGTAATATGATACATGTACATGTCTGTCCAGTTAACAAGTCTATCAAGAGGGGTCATAGAAAAGTCATTCTAGGCCAAAGGCAATCTTTCGCAACATCCACAGTATGTAGCAAATGAAACAACGTAAAAAAAAAAGTACTATGATGTGCGTCAATGAAGATCAGACATCCAGGTAATGATATTACAAGAAAAAAGTTACAGATTTTCAAAAACAGAAAACAGATAAATCTCCAAAAACTCATTTCTTGTGTAATGTAATGATGTAATTTTAGCTGTGATTAACAAGTCTACAGGGGTACACAAAGTAATGTAAAGCCTTTGCGATACTAACGATACAGGTCCCAGCTCGTCGTACTGTTTCCTGATGACCCTGTAGGCAGCGTTGTCGCGGTCTCGTTTACACCGTCCCTTACACCCTCTCTGTTTGATGCATCCCAGCAGGCACCTACATGTGGTGAGAGTAGATCATCACTACGCACATTCAGATAAACACAATGAAATCATGTTTGGAAAGAGAGATGCAAATGCCTGCAGTTCAAAAGAAAATTGCTAGGGACCCCGAGATTTTTTCTTTGCCAAGGACAGTCACTATTGCCAAGGAATAGTGACTGTCCTGCATGAAAGAAGCAAAATCGTGATTTTGGAAAAACAAAATTTCTTTAGTGATATATGTATATTACATTAACATATACACAGGTTACATATACATGTATCTGCCACTTCTCAGGTTAGCACAGTTTACATATGCAGGAGTGCATTTTACTTGCTGATGCTGAATTAGAGATCTCTCAAGGCACAATTTTCAGGGTGGCAGAATCCTTGCTGAATTATATTTTATTAGTAGACATCACTATTCTACACCAGTTTTGAGAGCATGATTTATATAATTAGACTCGAACAAAGTCCAAGGACACAAACTACTCCATTTTTACGTTAAGAATGTTTTGTCACATACCTGCAGTCCAGAAACATGCACTGTAGCCAGATCCAGGCCAGTATAAGAGCCAGGACCATGCAGGGGAAGCCGAAGGTGAACCACGTCACAAAGTCAATCCCTGGACCCCCGGGGAACAGTCTGTAAAGGAGAGAGTTTGACATTTGAAAGCATTGTACAGTTAGTGGCAGTTGTTACATAGTACATTTTGTGTATTACACAATGGTACTACAATTCAAATAAGCACGTATCTATATAAAATACTGAAAATATCAGTGTCATGATTCCTTCCAGCCATGTACACAGTTGGTTTCAATTTTATAAATCCAGAAAAAAGATATGTAGATATGAACAATAATTTATCAAAATATCTGTTCTGTATCTATAACTTATCATAACTGCTATATACAGTGTACTTGGACGTGGGTCTTTCTCTAGCCATAGTCATTTTTTTGCTGTATAATTTTCACTGTGGCTCTGACAGAGGAAACTAGCAAGAAGGATATATGTATGAAAACTACTTCTGTCACAACATAGCTGAATTCTGTATACCACACCCGCAACTGTCCCAATCATGCCCACAATATGCCATTATGAAACTACTAGTAATAATCATATCAAAGGTGACAGAGCACTTAAAGTTGTACTTTTGGCTGGTATAACATAATGATCAACTTGAGGATTGACAAAGAATAAAGATTATGACGCACGTGTCCACAGCCTGTGTGATGACCAGGTTAGGGCCAGTACCAGTCAGGGTAGCGGTGCCTCCGATGTTGGCAGCGTAACAGATACACAACAACAGACCCTTGCCTATCTTGTCCCCCTTGCCTAATGCCCGCACCTGTTAAAAGAACAACATTTTGCACATGGGATGTGAAGAAGGAGGAATTAAAATAGTTTTGAAGGAAATGTAGGATTTTTGTCTAACACAATCTAGGGGGAGTGAACATTTACATGTTGGAGATGAGACTTGGAATATACATGTAAACTAAATATTCATGAAATCATTCTCCTGGAATATAAACATGACAATTCAATATTTATTAATATTAGGGGAATATTAGAGGAATTAGACTACAAGATTAGAAGTATATTTGAGGTAAAGCATTTATTGCCTATGCTAGAAATCCCTGGAATAGAAATAATAATTTCTAGTCAAGTAAAGGAGTTAAACTGCATGTAAGTATGAACTACATCAATGTACCATTTTGGGGTTCACAACGTATGCATGTCTAAAATACATAAAGAGTACGAGGCTCTACCCACAGTTACAGAAATTTCACAGACTTACTTGTAAATGATGAAGCAAGCCCTTGGAAACCAGGGAGAGATTGAGAAGTTTCAAATTTGTAATTAAAGATGATTTTCACCATGATTAAAGGTATCATATTCAATTACTGTATCAGCATCTAAATGTGATGGTTATTTATCCGGTATGCCTAAATACCTCAACCGACCTCAACCGGCCTCAACCGACCTCGTAAAGGGTTAATATGTAGTATACGTGGGCTAACAACCTTTTCCAACGCTCTGGATACATTGTCTATGCTTGTATGAATGGAAAAAAATACTGTAACTCTGACGTATTTACCAGTTTTTAAAAGTTATTCCTCTGGTTTGACGTTAGAATGCTTTTCATGGCCGCCATGTTGGATCGCCATCGCCTCTGTACACCTTTTGCTTTTATACAGGCCACAGAACGCAGAATGATGGTAAAGCACAAACACTATCATAACCAACTCATAATAGCTATATACAGAGTGTTTTCCAGCCTGACGTCCAAGCTGCTAAGCATGTACGCCGAAAGGCTTGACCTCCATTGACCCCAAGGAGGAACGCTCGCGGAACCAACCAACGAACGTGGGGGGATGGCTAGACAGATCATTTATTTCAATAAATTGGATGTCGATCAACAACTCATCCCTTCATGCTTTTAAATTTTGGAAATAAAAAGTAGAAAAACCGTTGGAAAAGGTTGTTAGCCCATGTATACTGCATATTAACCCATTACGTGGTCGGTTGCGGACGGTTGAGGCCGGTTGAGGTATTTTGGCAGACCCTTATTCATCAGGCAGGTACCTATAGAGATACAGTCAATAGAAACTAGTACCAAGTAGAGCTACAGCACATGTAAAATTGTTTCTAATCATTTCATTTTTAGTTTGTAACAAGTAACAAGTTAAATGTTAGGTACATCTTGCATGTAATATGTAAATTGAGTTAATAGTAAAAAGGTCTTTGAACAGAAAAGTTCTTTAATAGAATGGAGGATGAGTGATAGAAATGCATTGTGAGCTAGTCATTTGAACATTAGGGATTGTACAGAAACTGAAGTCCATTGAAATTTGAATGTATT